TGGAAACCGCAGTGTTCGAGTCGTGTGTACAAAAATGAAAACGTACTTGTAGTAGAATCAAAGACCGCTACTGGCTGCCGTATCATATTAAATAGACAGGATTTATTCGCGCTCCGAAATTTGGAACGGTGCGTTTTCGAGACGGTCGCACGGAAAACCTCCATCAGTCAACCGTCAGTTTTAAAACAATTCAACCAGATTGTTGATTTTATAGAAGAAGAAATCACCAGAATGACAACGCCACCGCCAGCAGATATGTACGGGATACAAATGTACATTAAAAAGTCTTCGAGATGAAAAAATCGTCTCCTCCTTGCCGAAACATGACGTTAGTTATGTCGGTCAAATAAGGATGTATGCAACAAATCAATTAGCAGCGTGCCGGATGAATACGCGGAGCTCCTCGGGTAATCTTACGATTACACCACCGTCACCGAGCTATTCTCCGACGTCGCCTAGTTATTTGATGTCGCCAACTTATGCCGTAAGAGGATTCGGCCACAACGACGGGCCGTACGGTCCGCAATATATTACGTCACCACCGGTACCGAAGGAACAGATGGACGAAGAATTGGATTCTGCAGTTTCAGAAATGGGGTGGGGTCTCAAAAGAAAATTGTCTTTATAATAATGTTACATGTTTTATTTCTAATATAAAAATGTATATAACGTGTACTGCAGTTGTATTAAATAAAAACACAATTATTCACTTAAAAACGGTTTTATTTATTTATTCCTAATTATATGTATATAAGTTTTACAAGATAAGGTTACAATATTCGTACATCTCCGTTAAATGGGTTATAAGTTATGATTTGGTCGCGCAATATTAAACAATAAGCTGAAGTTTTTGATACGATATTTGTTTGTGTTTCAAATTCTATACGCAAGTCAGCGGTCGACAATTTAACATTGTCGTTTTGACGCATCAAGTCCACAACAATTAAAGGAGCGTAAGTATTGAATTGTTTTCTAGACAGCAATGGTTTACTATTTTCTCTTTCGTAGTATGATTTTTGAAAATCGGTATACATTCTTTATAATATTGCGGTTAAGCTGTTGGTGAAATCTGCTCGAAAATCTTCGTACGGGTATACTACTGAGTTTAAATGAAGTTTGAGGTTTTTCAACGAACAGTTATCGAGAATCGTCCGGACGGGTTCCGCAGGTTGTTTTTCCGAGCGATCTGAAAACCGATTACGACGAACCTTGATTTATCTAATAAACTGCTAGATTTAACCGTCCAATAGTGTGAGGTATTTTCCGGGAGAACTGGATATTCACACAAGTCCCACGTTCTGAACGCGCACGTTAACGGTTTTCGTGAATCCAACACATTTAAAAGTTTAAATTTCTCCCTATCATTAACTTTAACGATAGACATCCTCCAATGAACCTTGCTTAGTTCAATACTAAAATTTTCAAAATTAGTATGAGTATCATCACCTCCGCCTACAACACGGAGCGCATCAAAATCTGTAGTCGCTCGATTTAAATTAAGCTGTTGATTACAATTGAGTAATATTTTTTTATAATCTTCGCAGAAACCGAATAAATATTTTAACGGTAAACAACCAGAAAATTTAATGTCTGGCATAAATTCTTTATTATCGTCTACGTCCATATCTATGTCCCAGGCAGCGTTTTGTAGTCCATATAAATCGTCACGTGTATGCGAACGGTAACCTTTTAAACAAGAGGCTATGCCTGGGGTTTTTAATTTTTGGATTTCCACGCCATTCGCCTCATATCGCATTTCGGAAAACAAAAACGCAAATCCGTTGTTTGTGAAATTAACCGTTCCTTGTAAACCGGTGGTCGAAGGTTCAATTACTTTTCCCTCTGTAAAAATATGGCTTTCGCACGGAAGAGTGTACGCGTCCATATTTTAAATAGATATTCTAATAAACTTATAAAAACCAAATACCAAATAATCTACAATAAACTCGTACAATATTATTACAGTAGTGTGTAGAAATTTACGAGAAATCACGTACGCACTATGGCACTATGACGTAATGACCACAGAACGGAATACCGTGTGTTGCCAACAGGTTAGCGCTGTTGTTCACATAAACTCAAAACTATTGGGTCTCGCGCCCCCTTAGAGAGTTATCATATGTTTTAGGTGTAATCATACTAATTTCTTCATTGATAGCGGCTGATACCGTAAAATGATAACGGCGGCGCTACATAAATTTCTTTGGCTTTTGTCGCAGAAGTCGATTTGCCGAGTCCTTGGTTTTCTTTATTTCGTTTTAATAACGTTTTCCGCCCGTTTTTAACGCTTTAAAACTCTTTAAAAAACATTTTAAATCTATTTCGAGTTCTTACGCGACATTCGAACGTATGGTTTCGTTTTCCGTTTTCCAGGTTAGTCCGACCGGTAAGTGTATTATGATGAGGTTAATAATATTTATAATGATAACATCTATACATTTTACATAATCACAACAATAACTGTTTACAAAATTAATAAACAGCTACTAAATATCTAGATAGATATATCGGGAATCTTTAAGTTTATCTGAGAAGAATTTTTACCATACAATGTTATCACTGTATTTACCTAATTAATCTTACAAGAATATACATGTGTAAACAGAACGTCTCACTTGTATCAGACAAATACAATTTTTTTTTTCCATACAACTTTTAAAAGTTTTTTTACTACATTATAGAGTACGGATCTAATTTGCACATTCTGGAAATTTGTATTAATAATTTTTTTTTTCTCTACAAACCTATCTATTTCAACGTATTCAAAATAATATGTGCCAAATATTTTTTTTTCGTTAATAATAGTATTGAATTTATAGTCATAAAATACATAATTTATAATTGTAAATAAAAACGAATAATTGAATTTCTTAAACATGTTGTTTTATTTTAAATCAATTGACTTTCTAAAAAGATAGAAATACATTTATTACGGTTTTGAGTCTTGAAAACTTTTGAGTTAATGTCTGATGTGCCTCTCTTTGGTTAGTCTCTGAAACGATAATTAATAGTTAGTTACAAAATGTATAAAACATCCAAACTATAGTTGGACTTTTGATCAATGGAATTACTTTGGTCAATTGGCCATATTTCACTAGTCAATTGTTTTTAAAAATCTACTGATTAAATCACGAACATTTAGAAATAATCATATTCTTAAATCTAAAATTTATTTTGCTTGAACTTTCCGGAGATAGTAACTTTTGTAAATGTATTCAATTCAGAATCACTATTTTTTTTTAACTTTACATTTATAAGATATTTCAATATTAATTATTCTTAAAAATAATAAAAAATATTAAGGAACATAAATAATATAATTTGCAATATATATTTTAGATAGACATATTTATTTAACAATAGACCGTATTTTGAAAGAGTGCTAACCCTCGTCTATACCTAATGGCGGATTAAAGTATTTGGATAATGAAAATGTTAGCATAATATTTGAGTGTGTATACTTACTTCATTAAAAGTTACGTTTTCATTGAATGACAAGTCGACACCTCCGAAATTTCGTTGAATTTGTTCGCGGTGTTTTCTACGTTGTGATTTTGTCAGTCCGACTATTGGTTTCATTATATTTGGCATGTGCTTTAGAGTTTCGAGATAACTCGTTTTATTTTCATCCGGCTAGAAATTAAATGTTAGGAACACAATTTTCTAAATAAACAGTTTAAGGAAATGTTAGCAAAATACAATATCAAATTATATCATACACAAAACGAAGAGAAATCTACAATTATTGAACGTTTCGGTAGAACTTTAAACGGTAAAACGAGAATACAGTTTGAAGTTCGAAAATATTGGTTAAAACGATATATAGAATTTAACACAAATTTTCGTGCAAAAACAGTTTATGAATTTGAAAAAGATTATTACAAGTTAATGAACAACAGTGTATTTGGTAGAACTATGATGAACACAAGAAACCATAAAGATATAAAATTAATTAATGATGGGAAAAAAATGGAAAAGTGATTGAAGATATGCTAATGGTCAAATAATGACTGAATTTGTTGGGTTAAGATCAAAATTATACACATTTAAAATATAAAAATATTTGAAAATAAAAAAGCAAAATGTGTGAAAAAACTCATAGTTAAAAACGAATTCAGTTTTAATGATTTTTATAATTGTTTAAAAATAAAAATCCAAAATATGTAAAATAGAACACTTTTAGAACAGATAAACATAAAATGTATACCGTTGAACAACACAAAAAACCTCTTAAAGCATACGACGATAAAAGATATATTCTAGAAAATGGTATTGATACTGTAGCTTGGGGACATTATTCAACAAAAATAGACAGAAAAAATTTAATAAAAACAAATAATAAAAAAGAATGATAAAAAAAACTTAGATAATACTTACTATTAATGTAACAACTAATTATTTCACATTGTCGTACTATTAGGTAATCTAAGTCTTAAAATTCTTTTTTTAAATCTGCGGTCCAACAAATCTTGCATTGAAGCAACATCTTTTATATTGTAAAAAAAATAATAAACAGCATTGTAAAACCAATAGCTCCCTCGTTGCACTCAGAATCTAAAAATAATAATAATAATTCAAAACCACATATCATAGTAAAACCAATAGATCGCTATTCTCAGAATTTAAAATAAATATCATTGTATAACCAATATATTCCTTTCTGTTTTTTCTATTGTTCATATAAATGATTTTGATGCTAATTAAAAATTAATATACCTATTTATGCATTAAAATATTAAATGAGGCAAAAATTTAAATATTATTCAGTAAATAATATAATTTGTGAAAATAATATTTTATAGTTTAAGAACAAAATTAATAATTGGTGTAGGGGGCATAGCCCCCTACATGACTTAGGTTTAATACCGTGTAGAGTAGGTGGATATAAATTAATATTTGTTGCCCCATGTTATGAATGTAGATTGTACCTTATCTAATTTATATTATCTATGTAACATTGTAATAATATGTGATAAGATTATGATAGTAGATTATGTAATATAAGTCATACCGACACAGTCATATATAACGTTGTTTTTAATAGTTAAAATGTAAGAGTTAATAATATTAAGGTGAAACTGTAAATTGTATTATAACACATACAGAACCACTGACGAAGATAAAAAGTAATTTTCAACATCCAAAGGATAATCAGAGAAGCTATGCAAAGAGGGATTATTCAAAAACACTAAAATGTACATGTTGTGGTAGAAATAATCATTTATTTTCTCAATGTAAGTATAAAGAGTATTCATGTAATTTGTGTAAACGTGTAGGTCATTTNATTAATTGGCAGGAAGCTTTGATAAATTACTACATTTAAAAGGTATGAATCAAATAAACAGAATTGAACCAATAAATGTTAAATTAGAAATTGAAGGAAAACCTGTAGAGATGGAATTGGATACTGGGGCATCAGTCTCAATAATTTCTGAATATGAGTATAATAGAAGTTTTAGAGACATTAAGCTAGAGACAAATGGGTTGAAACTGCAATACTATACAAAGGAAATGGTAGATACATTGGGACATATTCGAGTGAACATTAAACGTATGTTCTAAAGGGACGAGGGCCTATGTTTTTAGGTAGAGAGTGGTTAAAAAATATGGATATTTTATCAAACTTGTGCTCTAACAAATGTAAGCAAATAAAACCATTATTCAATATAAACCAAAACAATAAAGGAAGTGAAGTTATCAAAAGATTTTCTGAAGTGTTCAGTGAAAAGTTAGGATTGTATAAAGGAGAAGAAATTGAATTAGCACTAGTAGAAGGAGGGAAACCAAAATTTTTCCAACCCAGACCTTTACCACTTGTATTAAAACCTAAAGTAGAAGCAGAATTAGAACGATTAGAAAAAGAAGGTATAATTAGTAAAGTTAAATATAGTTTATGGGGTACACCCATAGTACCAGTTATTAAACCTTCCGGAGATATTCGAATCGGTGGAGATTATAAAGTTACAGTTAATCAATACTTAAAGTTTGAAAGAGAAATTGTCCCTAGAATTGAAGAATTATTGGTAGGTATTAAAACTAAAGGTAAGTTTTCTATTATCGATTTAAGCCAGGCATACCTTAACTACCTTAACTACCTTAACGGCATAACTACCGCTTAACCCAAAATCAAAGGAATTGACAGCAATAAGCACCCACAAGGGAGTATATATTTATAACAGAGTACCTTTTGGTATAAATGCATCGGTAGGCATTTTTTTTAAACAGATTTGGTGAAAAATTAAAACAGATACCAAACATAAGAGTGTATTTTGATGAAATACTAATTTTTGGTGACAGTGAAGAAGAACATTTTGAAACATTAACAGAGGTTATTGACCTGATTAAGTCTTTAGGTCTAACAGTTAGAAAAGAAAAATGTTTATTTTTTGAGAATCAAATTAAATTTTTGGGATACATAATAAATAGAGAAGGTAGTAAACAGGATCCCGAGAAAATTAAAGCCATAAATTTAATGACTTACCCTAAAGATAAAACGCAACTACAAGCATTTTTAGGTTCAATAAATTATTATAGGCAATACATACCACAAATCTCAACGATTCAAGCACCTCTCTCAAATTTACTAAAGAAAGATGTACAGTTTAATTTTAACAGAAATTGTCAGTTAGCACTTAATCAAATTAAAAGGGAAATCATATCTGATAGGATTTTAAAACATTTTGATCCAAATCAGGTGACAATTCTTACTTGTGATGCATCAGTTTATGGTTTAGGTGTGGTATTGTCGCAACTAGATGATGAAAACAAAGAACACCCTGTGGTGTTTGCTTCAAGAACTCTGAACTCTGCAGAAAAAAATTACAGTCAAGTTGACAAAGAAGCATTGGCAATTATATTCGGAGTAAATAAATTTAATAATTTTTTTTGGGGGGCAATTTGTCATTAAGTGTGTTGTCATTAATCCAATTTGTAACATCAAATAGAAATAGTGCAGATGGGTTATCCAGATTGCCAGTGGATATAGGAAAAGAATGTGGTGCTGGAGTGTCATATTTACATTAAGTGGATGAAATGAAGGTTTTAAATGCAAGTTTAGTTCAGAAAGAGACTAATAATGATCCATTATTAAGTAAAGTGAAGTATTATATATCATACGGTTGGCCAGAAAAAGTCAACAAAGAATTAGAGGTGTTTAGACATAAACAAGAACTGCTGAGCTTAGAACAAAATACTATATTGTGGGGACACAGAATAGTAATATCAAAGAGCATACAAAATAAAATTCTGGAGGAGTTACACTATAATCACTTAGGGGTGGTTAAAATGAAATTGATTGTGAGAGGTCATTTATGGTGGTTAGGCATCGATAAAGATATTGAAAACATTGCCAGCAAATATGATGATTGCAATAAGGTTAGACCCATGCCAGGAAAAACAAGAATACATACATGGGAGTGGTCACAAAATCCTTGGCAAAGACTCCATGCAGACTTTTTAGGTCCATTTAAAGGACAGCTATTTTTAATTATAGAGGATGCATACTCAAAATGGCTAGAAGTATTTAAAGTCCCTGTGAATGGAGCTCAATACTCAATAGATATATTTAGGAACTTGTTTGCAAGATATGGGTTACCTGAATATCTAGTAACAGATAATGGCCCACCTTTTACTTCTGTACATTTCCAACAGTTTTTAAGGGATAATAGAATAGGTCACAGGACATCTTCTCCTTACTATCCCCAAAGCAATGGACAGGTAGAAAGTGGTGTAAAAATTATTAAAACCTTCTTAAAAAAGATTAAATTATGTGACAGTAATAAGCGATTAGATCAATTTGTATTTGACTATAGGATTGCCACACATACCACAACCAAAGAAAGTCTGGCTAAGTTATTGTTAAGTAGGAACCTATGTTCTAGATTTGACATACTCAAGCCTAATATTAGATTAAGTGTCTCTGATAATCAGGAAAAACAATTGGAGGGTAAAACCCTGTTGAGAGAGTTTAAAATAAATGAAATTGTACTAGTGAGGGAATATGCAACAAACATGTGGATTAGAGAAAAGATCAAACAAAGAGTAGGTAGTGTATTGTATTTAATCGAACTAGGAAACGGTACAGTACATAAGAGCATGACATACATAGACCAATTAATAAAACTGAAGGATATGAATAAAGCTAAATATTTAGATAAAACTGAAGACTAAGGAAATTAAGGATATAGTTGAAACTGAGAACGCTGAGGAAGTAAGATATCCAAAAAGGATTAAAAAACCAATTGTTAAATTAGATTTATAATAATAAAATATTTGTTTTTATTGAAATTTCATGTTGTAGGTTAAGTTTAGTTTTAGTTGTTAGTTTGAATAGAAATTATANTACATAAAACTTAGACACGTAAAACCTATATTATGAATGTTCAATGTACATAGTATTTTTAAAGGTAGAAGTGTTATGATAGTAGATTATGTAATGTGTGTCATATCGACACAGTCAGTATTCACTATATAACGTTGTTTTTAATAGTCAAAATATAAAAGTTAATAATATTAAGGTGAAACTGTAAATTGTATTATAACACATACAGAACACCACACATACAAAATATTAGTTTGGCACCACAAATTATAAGTAGTTAAGTATTAGTTTGAGATAAACACAGACTTGTATAAATAAACATAGACATATTTTTTGTAAAAAATACATACAGCTTATATTTAATTTAGCACACATTATATTAATATCTACAACTATTTATGAAGATAGCTGTTAAAACTATATATGGAGGTAAAGGACTAGGATGGTCAATCCCAGGTATTATTGGAAGAGTTCAGTATATTGCAAAAAGAAATAAGACACAATTAATAAAATAAAATAATGATACAAATCATTAAATTAAAAAAACAATAATATAATTTAAATTAATATAAACATAAAATTATGGAATAGGTAAATATAGTTTACTGCATACTTGATATGTTTTGTACTTTATATAAATGAAAAAAAAAATGTGTTTTTATTTCAATCAAATATAGTTTGTCATTTTCTCTTATTCCATCTTTAAAATGACAACTGCATCGTATTATTTTTTTGAAGGATATGTATCTGCTCTCCTGTTGTGCAAAAAGTTGTATAATCCAAAATAAATATAAGCTTTAATTTTTAATCAATTAGTATAAATTTTATATTTATGAGTATTTAACATAATATAACTATTTAAAATGTAATTCATTTCACAGATTTAGCTTAAACTTTACATTCAACATCATTTGCTGGATATCTAAAAAACTTGCTGGTTTCTCTGTTGAAAATGTGAGAACATGACGTAATCTAGCATTAAACAATTTTGCACTATGGCAATAATTATTCAACAAATTTTAATTTGGATTAAATATTATGTAAAACTTGTTCAAACTCTTCAAAAGGAAAACCAGTAACACTTATTGTACGTTTCACAAAACTAGCGACTCCGCAGTTACACTTCCACTGCCAAATATTTTTATAACCACTATATAGGTACCATAGATACTCCATGATAAACACACAGTCGCATGGCAATTGGTGAACATATTACTGTTAATAACGACCACATTATTTTGTTAGTATGTTTACTTCGTTCGAGTTATCTAGACGATTTATTTTATTGACAACTTTATAACTTTATGACTTTAGTACGACTAATCAGTGAGTTTGTATTGTGGTTGCATTGCATTGCTTGGAACACCGAAATTTCGTTACCGGAAGCGCCACTGCGGAGTCGCTAGTTTCGTGAAACGTACTGTAATTGACAAACTGAAGACTGAAATAAATCAATGTGCAGGCAGTATACAGGCAAATATACATTGCATACTTAACATAACTTGGCAGGAAGAACAAGGAATAATGAAACCAAAGACGAAAATATTACGTTTTATAAGTGAGTATTAAATTATTTGGTGGATACAAAAACTAGTACAAGTATACTTGATTTCCAGATTTCCAAAAAAAGATCTATTAGAGACAAATAGTATTCCTTAGTCATTGAAAATTGTTTAAATACACAAAAATGAACAAGTATTTTGTGATATCACATTAAAAATTATCTTGTTAACCAAGGAAAAACCACAACCATGAGTTAATGATAATGTGTTATCAGGAAAAATTTTTCAAGCATTCAAGCTCGTTTGTTATAAGTTTTATTGTGAAATATTTATTATATTATATAAATATTACAAAAGACTTAGTAGTTTACTAGTTATTATCATCCAAATTCCTAGTCCAATATTATGTTCATTGGATTAGGTATCGCATAAAAAACAAAAGTAATCGTTTTTCTCATAAATTTCAATACTCTGTTCTTTAGGAATACAGTTCAGAACAAAAACTTCCAATTATTAGCAGTTAAGAATCACCATACAGTTCCAGTTCAACTAACTACATATCTACATCCTTCCGTCCTAAACATACATAAATTAATTCTTGAGCAAATAGAAAATAGAAAATTAAGTAAGTAATACTGTTTCTCAAATAAACAAAGGTGAAAATTAAATTAATAATATTTATTATATTAAGAAAGAATAGTGAATTTGAACATCCACCACAGCAGCAGCATCATCAGCAACAGCCACTACCAATTTTCAAATATCCATCAAAAAAATATGACTTCAAAATCATATACTGCCCAAAGTAGGCTTCAAAAATATCCTAAAAAGTGTGATGAAACATTGAATAAGGTTGATGAAGGAGTTAAAAATTTAACTGTTGAAGAGTCTGTGCAGTTAATTGAAGTTGAGAATGATCCATGTCTTGAGGTACATGACAATTATGACTATGTTGGTGAATTAAAATTCTATTTAAAAAATTTAAACTTGCCAGAACCCTCCTATGATTGTATGATAAAAAAAGAAAAATATGATAAAACAATAAGACACATATATATAAGTACAGTTAAGGCAATAGACAAAAGCTCTAGTTCTTACCCAGTTGAATGTAAAACTGTGGTTTATGCTAAGCAAGTTGCTGCAAAGAAAATGATAGCTATCTTAAAACCCAATTATGGTGAAAGTATGGTTTATCATATTACAAGTGATATTAACATGATGGCAGTTCGCATTAAAGAATTGTTTAAATCTGAATTTAAACCTAATGGACTTATGAGTAGTGAATTGGAAGAAATGTATAGAGAGAAATTTCAAGAGCATTTGCCGCATAACTGGGTTCAACTTTTAGAAGTTTATAGTTATTTTAAATTTGATAAGTTAGTTGCAAACAAAATCATTATATATCTGAATGAAATGGATAGTGATTATTGTCAAAATAGTCATGCAAATATAAATGAATACCTAGAAGTGCCTGTTGAAGAACAAAACAATCCAGGTATCCCATTAACATTTAAAGATTATGAAGAAAAATGTATCCTAGTTTCTGCCAACTATGGTGCAAATAACATTTGGATAAATTTTGTTGGACCAAGTGCAGATGTAAACTTTATTAAAATGCAAGCTAAATTCAATGATATAATGAACACTACATATATAAATATTGTTGAACAAGTGACTGAAGGTAAATACTATGCTGTGTTGTATAATTCAACTTGGCATAGGGTGCAAATTTCTAGCCCTATAGGAGAAGATGGTACAGTTGCGTGTTTTATGGTAGATACCGGTGACCTATATAATATATCTAAGGATGAAATATGTAACCTTGAACCGGTATTTATGAAAACTAAACTTCAGGCTATTAAATGTATACTAACTGGCTTGGATAATTTTGATACATTTGATGGTTTACAAGAAATATTAAATGAAATGATATTGAATAAAACATTCTTTGTTGTACCTGATTCATTAGAAGATTGTGCTAGGGTTACTTTATATGAACAAAGAAAAACATGTTATAGAATCAATGTAAATACTATGATAAAACAACAATTAATAGAGACGACTATTATTAAGCTTCCATCTTTTGAGGAACAAACTGTTGTGGAAGGAATTGTGTCATCATTTGTGGAGTCTGGACATTTTTATTTACAATTGAATTCTAATGTTATTTCTTCACTCAAAAAGATCTTGCCAAATGATGAAAGCTTGGGTCCAGAATACTTTTTAAAGAGCAAAGAAGATATTGGAGTAGATCAGGTATTCTTAATGAAGTATGAAGACGATAATCTTTGGTACCGTGTTCATGTTATTGAAATAATAAATGATTTTGAGGTCAAGGTAATCTGTATTGACTATGGTTATATCGCAAAATGTGAAATTAACAAATTAGTTAAATTGAAATTGTTTGATTCTTTAATGGCCATTATTCCACCTCAGGCTATGAAAGTATCAATGAATTTATTACCCCCTAGTATCATGACATCGGATATCGCAAAAAAGGTATTTGACATTATAGGAAATGATAAGGTTTTAGTGAATGTTGTTAATGCACCTATAAATGATGTACCTTATGTTCAACTTTACAAAACTACATCTGCTGATAAAACAACATTTTGTATAAATATACAAATAGCTCAAAGTTTAAAAAAACAATAATGAACCATATTGATTGATTTTTTTTTTATTATTATATTTGTAGGTATTTTTATAATTTTGATCTCATGTCGATTTGATCATTTAAGAAAAAATTATTATTTAATATATTTTTTTTATTAATTATGTATATAAAGTTAGTTGTGTGTTTTTATACAATATCCTTCATTTAATTTGGAGAGTGCTATAAATTATAACACTTAACAATTTTTAGTTTAAAATTAGTATTTTGTTATTATAATTGCAATTTTGTATACAAATTTATAAATGTTATTATTATACTCCTATTATAGTATCTTTAGAATCTATGTACTATATACATATAATATATATTATGGAAGATCATATCTCGCATGGAATAAATTAATGATAAATTTTTAGTATATACATATAAATGATAAATAAATATGAAAAACTTCTGCAATAATCAATTATTGTATACACCTCATAACTCTCAAAATTTTATGTTAAATGACCCCTTTAATATATGTACATTGTCTATGAATTATATATTAATTAATTAATTAATAGAGTGTACAAGTTATGATATAAGTATATAATAAGTATATAAGTTTATATAATATTTTATATTATCAACATAATTTTGATTCTTTTTTTCTGGCTCTTGATTGTTTTTTGCATTACCTATTTTATTCTTGTTTATAATGCAAACAAATTACTACTACACTATTTTAGTATTCATCACAAATTTTTAATAATTATAATATCTGTGAGTGTTTTTTCAAAATTCAGCAATTCATAGACAATAATTTGAAGATATTTTTTAGTGATTAAAATATAAACAAAAATGTTGTATGAACTGTTTTCATTAGTTGGGAAATGTACAGTATATCCCTTTCAAAATTCATCTAAATGAACACCCGGATATTTTACTGATGGTAAGTACCTACTTTACAAAATGTAGTAGGACAAGATCAATTTAATGAATTATTATTACATTTGAATACATTAATTTTAATTTTATTTACACCAAATGTATAGCAAATACTAAGATTCGGTTGTTTATTCATATAAAATAACTGTAATATATATATATATATATATGCATTAAAAAATGACCAAGTATTCAATCAAAATATATGAACTCGAAGCCGATTAAATACCAAAATACACACAACAAAATTTATTTCACCTTGTAATTTAATATTAGATTCTGGGTGTACTGAAGAACGTACCTATCATAAAACCAATACATTCCTGACCCCTTCGCTCAGTATCTAAAACAAAACTGTGAAATCCGTTATACTATCGAATTTTACAAGATATCTTCGTGTGTGCCAAAACAGAATCCCATTGGAACACACAATAGGTATAATCTTACATAAAGCTGCGTTCAACTTCTGTCGGAGCACACATTGTTAATATTGTCCGGCCCGGAGTAATAATACAAGTCCGCAAGTAAACAATGATACAATAGATACCCCGTCATCCTCGCGAGTAACAAGATAGTAAAAATAATTCGCTATTTTGTTAGTTTGTCGAACAAAACGATATTAAATTTTATTCCCGACGAACGGTTTTAAGTGACCATCAAGCGCGTTATTATTGAAGTACGGCATATTAATAATATTAGTTTTAATAATATTGTACGTGTGTGTGTATGCGATAAAACGATTTCGCATTCACAATTCGATTATAATACAGAGTGATCGACATAATACGTAAGACTCGCGGAAATTATAAACTTTTTTCGGAATTTGGTTTTTAAAATATTTAAGTATCTCTAAATAATATTACATTACTTTTTTTTTTTGTCGCCATTATTTTATGGTATGAATACACTAAATACCTACATTTGATTTTCAAATGGCGACCTTTATTAATCCTGGTCGCTGGTCAATAATAATATCCCGTGACCTGTATGGATAGAACTGTTAGGCCAAATAGAAATGCTTGAAAATTAAATAGGAAGTTCAAGTTGTACTTATTAGTTGTGGTCAACTAGAAAAAGTTTGGTTTAATGTAGTTTTTTTTTTAGGAATTTCACTTTCAAATGTTGACGAAAATCATAAATATTACGGCCTTTTAAAACTTGTGTAACTGGACTCCGCAGAATCGTTTTTCGTTAGCAAAAATGAATCTTTACGTACAGATATACATTAAATTCCCCTCTCTATCCTACCTTCCTAACTTCTCGCCACTACAGTGGCCCACCCATCGTGCGAAATATGTTCGTCTTTTTTTTCTGCATCCAACTTTTTAATTCTCGTCGTTGGTTTCGGGTGTATATAACAGAATAAGATCATACGGTTTATTCATGAAACACAAGTATTATTATTTAATACACTCCTCCGCATTAAAAATGACTGCAGGGCGTGTCGCTTAGGACTAACTCAGTGGCGTATTTTAGGGAGGAGCGATGTGGGCGATCATCCTCCCTCAATTAATTTGTGTAGGTGTTTACTATATACAAAAATTTAATATCGCTAGAAAAGTGTCAGATACAAAAATAAAAAAAAAAAAAAAAAACAACTTGTGTATAATAAATTTAGTGTCACCCCCATAAAACTAAGTCAAATACGCCACTGAGTGTACCTGCGTAATATCTAATTAAAACGAGTTCGATGATAATAATAGCATACGCGTAGATGCCCATATTATTAGGTCAGTGCGACGATACCTGAATTCATAACTATCTCGGTCCGACGCACGGTCAACACTATAGCTAAGTCACGTTACTCGGACGATAATAAAAAAAAAAAATCGTGCCGTTTGTGTTTAAATTAGTGTTTGGACGTGGGTGGCGAAATGCAACGAGGAGAATAAATCTCCTAAAATATAATATGTTCATCTGTATTTAAGCAATATATTGATTTTGTTCGTCAGCTGGTCGGCTCTGATGCCATCGTCGCTATTGTACGGTAAAGCCGCTGCGTCCGTACCTGCCACGGTATGCCGGTCCACCGTGTTATCGTCGCCGTCGTGACCGAGCTCAACGGTGTTCAACACCCGATCCTGGCCAGCGTCTTGCGATTTGGCGCCTTCGCCGTCCTCAGGCTGCCGCCGTTCCGAGCTTTTCGAGTCGGTCGCGGCCATCCTGGGGCCGGTGGTCTCCGACGGCGACACGTTCCCTTTGCGCTGTTGAACGGTCCCTTTGCGCTTCCAGTGCCACGTAGCCACGGACGCCCGGTAATGTTGCGCTGCGATACTCGTTCCTAACGGTTTCCGCCACATGTCGGCGGTTTGGCGGTCGGACGCGGCCCGCGCTACGGGAACGGTGACCGCGCCGCTGCGGTCCGTTACCCGTTTCGCATTCTTCTCCATCACGGATAACATCCGCAGCTGTTGTTCACTTTGCGGACGCTGGTTCCGCTCTCCCGTCTTGCCTTTTATTTCCGACCTTTTGCGGTGCCCGCGACCCGTCAACGTAGATATGCTGGATTTTATTTTTGTTTCCTTCGTCGTTAGCAAATCAACACGTCTGCGTGACCAAGTGACCACGCGTGACCGTTGGATACCCGTTCGTTATTATTGTGATTAGAAAAAAATATCCAGGCATAATTAATCTCCGTTAGGTATACTAGAATCGAATTATCCCTCGCCTATTTTGTAATACAGACATGAGCGCAACTAGACCAACATTTTTGGGGTTGCACAAATGATAAAGACCCCATACAACCGTGGGAATCTTAATTTTATTTTAAGTTTTGTTAATTTAGGTAACGTGACTGTGGGTACTTATTATAAAAAAAATCAATATAATTTGTTTACAATAAGTGATATTAAATAATTGATTATACCATTTTTAAGTACTCGAAAATATTCTAAGTAATCACCAGCGGGAAGAGAAAAACATTTGAAATAAAAAAAAATAAATAAACAGAAAATGAGCTCATTGATCAATCATATACATAAAAACTGGTAATCTCATAGTCAACCCTTAGTACTAAAGTTAACAAAAAAGGTTTTTTTTACGAAAAATAGGATCCAATACTAAGTAAGATAAAATTGTCAAATGGATTTTGCCTAATACGAAAGTAGGATTTCCAGTCCACCCTGAAATATTAAAGATTATATTCAAAAGGTATTAAAAATCTGTCCAAGAAAAAGTCTTTTTAATGATGATAGACTTTGAAAAAATGATTAGTTTCATTTTTAAAAGACACCAAAAAACAGGAGAGACATAGTTAAATAATATCCAAGGCAAAAGGTGCCGTGACTGAAAATTCAATCAGAATTTTGCACAGAAAAAATATTATTTTATACTGTCTATCATCTAACCAGACTCAAAATATACTTCAATCTAGTGATGGTTCAAATTTAAACCATTAAAGTCATACTGGAAAGATGTTATAAAAGTAGTTTGACATTGAAAGTCTAACATTTGTAATGTCTGGGTCACCGTGACCGGGAAAACTTAAAAGAAAAGAAAAAAAAGTAATTTTCTTATAATAGAGTTAAAAGACTTTATTACTCAGAATATATAATAATAACAATTCTTAAAACATAACAACTCTTATTTCATCCACTGTAGATATTCGCACCATTTCCCTAACTATACATTTATTCAAATCTCCCAGGTTTAAATGCATTCCTAACAACTTATCTGGTTTTTCAATATTAACTCACTAGGCGTTGGACTGTTTTCTAGAATTTTTTGTTCACATAACTTCATAATTAATTTCTCTAGTTTTCCCATTAACTTTATTGGTACCCTCCTAGGCTGATTAATTACAGGTACACTATTTTCCATTATTGTTATTTTTACTTTATCTGGAAACTTTTCCACTCCAGTGGACATATTAAAATTATCTTTTATGAACTTTTAATTTTTGTCAATAGCACTCAATTTACTTAAATCATTATTTGTATAATTTATGTTCTTGCATTCACTAAAAATAGATAAAATAGATTTTTGTTTCAGAAAAGTTGCTACTCTTACATATCTAAGTATTTCTTAAAAAAATATGAAAATTATTATTTACTGTTACTTTTAATATGCATCAGAATATAATAAAATATATATTAAAATTATCAATTTTATAAATTCCAATATAAATGAATAGTATATTAAGTTTAATTAAAAGTTATTTATGATGCATGAATACATTTTATTTTTGCCTAATTAATAATAAAAATTAAATTTAAAGTTACTGAATACATAACTTATAATACAAGAGCCTAATATAAAATTTAGAGTGAAAGTGGGTATTCAAAAATTAATTTTGCCTTCCCCCTCTAATTTAATTTAGTTTGGTGCCATTGTTCTTGATATCACGCATATTATAAAAAATTTCATTCTGGTTTCATTCGGGATTTTAGTAAAGGAGTTCAGCTTTGAAATAAACTTTCCCCTAGGAACAATATGATAAAATTCAATCCAACTTTATCACTTCAATTCGCCTATAAAAAAACCTTCAATAATTCCCAATATCTATAGAAGCTGATAACACTGAAAGTTGGTAAGTATAGTACTTATTATATTATTACATGCAATGGATAGAAGAGTTCATAATCTTGTAAACAACTGGTTTTAAGTTTAAATTGTCTAATATAAGAAAATTAGGTAAAATAAATTTAAAAAATAATCAGTCATTATTCTATTTATTTTGTATGCATGATTACACATTTGAATAAAACATGTTTACACAAAAATTTAATACAGAAACTACAATCAAAATAATTAAATGCAATTTTCAATGTATTGAATATATGTATTCAATATATTGATGACAAATTATCAGCTATGGACTTCTTTTTAAATTATAGAAGAGACCAGACATACATACATTGAAACTTCCTTTAAAGTTTCAATATGAATACATATGGTATCCTTTATTCAATAATTAATATTTAAAAAAATCATTGACATATTTGTAATAAATTTAAGAAATTAAAATGTCTATCAGTGTTAATATTTTTGAAAATAGGCTTATACAATTTTGTACAATTAAGTTAAAGAAAGTCTCAAATACAATTTTGTTTTTTTTTTTAAAACACTTATTATTTTAATAGCATTTTGTAATAAATGTCTAAGTTGTTTTATTAACTTGAATACAAACATAATATAAAAATAATAGAATAGGTAATATTAAATTTTACAATTTATAACATTGTTTGAGTATACAAAAAAACCCAAAATACTTAATTAAATTAAATTAAAAATTAAATAAAACAATAACTTAAAATCAAATTAATTTATATTCTTTTTGTATACTCAGAAACATTAAGTAGCAATGCAATTTTACAGAAGCTTATCTATATATTATGAAGAACACAATAATATTATTTGTTGCTTATGTGTTAAATCAGTAGGGCACAACCTTTTAGATCCAGGACCCTAAAATTTATTTATTTCTATTAGGCGACCCTCGCACCAAAATTGTATACACACTATTCAGGATTATACCCAGAACATCTACCATTACTATACATTTTTTTTTTTTTTTTAATATGAATTTGCTATTTAAATAAATTAACAATTTTAAGTATTACTAATAATATTATAAAATACTATACAAGATTAATATCTAATATAATTTCAATCTAAATTAAAATTATTCAACAATTTCTTAATATTGAGATTATTAAATTATTTAACTATTTTTAAATGTGGTGAAATTCCAGCAAATAAAGTTAATATACTATAAGGTACCCTAGATAAATCAATAGATAGGTCTAGGAAAGAGTATTGAAAAGTGAGCATTTATCATCTGATCAATGCTCCCTTTCCCTCCTTAGCTACAGCCCTGAAAGTATTTATATTCTTATAAATAAAATTGACCACTTATTAAATTTTTTTGACCCCCAGGTTGCACACCACTACGTTAAATACATATAAAAATTAAGTTTTTGTTAAATTTTAAGTAATATTATCTAGTAAATAAACACTATTATTGTTATTTAACAAATTAGCTTCAGTGAGTACTTCAAATAACAGTATTATGACATAAAATAGACAAAAATAAATGAATAAATAAGAATTTAAGTATTTAAGAGTGTTATCAAAGACAAAATGATACCACTATAAATGGAGGCACGTAAATAATATAAAAATTATTCCTAGTAGTAAAATTTAAATACCGCTCAGTCACAATATTTTTTACTATTGCGTTAATTTGCAGACCATTGGTTTTTCATAATAATAGAACTACTCTGTTACTGGGATAGGTTGTTCAGTTTCTGAATTGTACTGATGCTCTCTTTCAACTAATTCATGAATAAGCTTGAATAGTTTTTTTTTTACACGGAGTGATGGTAGTCGGGCATTAGGATTGCTGTGCCAGCACTCTCGCATTGTCTCCACAACAGCATTCATTATCTGTAGTGAAACAAAAAATATAAAGAGGTTTACTTTTAAGATATTCAATTATTGCTAAGTAATATTTTACAAGTTATTTGTAAGGTATCAAATAAGAGAAAATTGGTTATTGGTTTTTTTTCTTTTAAACCTGATATTTTTTTAGAAAAAAGTGGTTTTTTTTCTAGCAGAAAAACAGTGTTTTGATGAGTAATTTAAATAATATTGGTAAAAATTGAATATCTAAATTTCATTAAGATATTAGATAATTTGAATATCAGCTTATGGATTCAAAAAATATTGGATCAGTTATTGGATTAATATAAAAAAAAAAAAATTGGTTTATCAGATATCAGAAAAGATTCATATCAGCTCATCTCTAGTTATTTTTTAACAGATAATTAAAAAAAATAAAAAAAATGAAAATAAGTTTAAAACAATTAGTGTAAGAAATACACATATCAAAAGTATAAATTATAAGTAAAACCTTGGATTTTTGCTTTAGAATCTTATATTAATCAATTGACATCTTATTTCAAAATATTAAAAAAAATCATCAATTTCAAAATTTCTTTAACAAGTTAGATAATTGAGGAAAACCTACCGGGTCTGCTAGCCATTCAGATGCCACACCTGGTCGGCTCAGCACTGGATCAGGAGAACACACAATGCGACGCATGTCATCAAACCCAGGATCCCAACCTGCGCCCCTGTCCTGGTAAGGGGCGCGGTACACATATGGATTATAACAGTTTTCAGTGCCTGATGGAAGTTGTATTTGTTTTTCTTTATCTACTTTTAGGTCTTGTCCAGTCACTGCAGGACCATAAGAAATGAGCGTTCTGGAAAGTACTTCCCACATAACAAGTGCATATGAGTATACATCCCCACGACGGTAGGCATCAAAACACCAGTACACAGAAGATGTAGTTTCAGATGATGAACTCATTCCTGATTTTTCAGTAACTGTAGATGCCAATGCTAATGCAGCCGCAGATGATATACTATATTACACAGAAGATCCAGAAAAATAAAGCATATAAATATTTTCTACATAATATGAGATAAATAACACACCTATCATCCAACACTTCTGGCGCCATGTAACGCTTGGTACCGACTCTAGTGTTTTGACTGTTGTCACCCACAGCAGCTGTTGTTGTTTGAATTGGAAGTCCAGCATCCAGGCTGGTGACAGCCATTCCAAAATCAGCCACACAACATGCACCTGTCCGTGCACATTTTACTAGCACATTTTTGCTTTTGATATCCCGATGTGCAATGCCCGGTTTACCCTGTTTGAAATTAAAAACAAAATATACTTGAACAAACCATAGGTATATCTAAATCAAAGAACCCATTAGGAAAATCTAAAAATGTTTTTAATGTGTAAAACAAATGGAAAAAAAAATTGACACACTTCACAGGATGAGTGGGCCACTGTTGTAGGTGGGTGAGAAGTTAGGAAGGTAGGATATAGAGGGAAATTTAATGTATTTTTGTATTCAACAATTAATTATTACTAACGAAAAAAAGATTCTGAGCAGAGTTCAGTTACACGTGTTTTAAAAAGGCATAATATTTACAAATTTCATCAAAATTTGATATTAAAATTCATATAAAAAAAAAATGCTACATTCAATTCAATTTTTTTTTTTTGAGCACTAAGTATAATTTATAGTGAACTATCTCTTAAATTTTTAAACATTTCTGTTTGGTCTAATAATTTTATTCACAGAGTATCTACAGAATAAATATTAGGTACAGAAAAACTCACAAAACTAAAAAGTACCATCACAAGAAAATTTCCTTAAAAAATTAGAGCACGATTTTTGGTAGAATTTTTATACACAATAAAAATAAAAAAATACAAAATAGTTGATACTGAGGATGAGTGATGCCACTTTTATAGGTGGGTAGTAAGGAAGGTTGGATACATAAAGTTATTTAATTTATACATGTAACTAAAGACTGTAATATTTACGATTTTCAAAATAACTAAAAAATGACTTCCTCAATGAACCAACTAGAGAAAATTATCTTTCAGAAAAAGTGATATAATCTATACTTCGGAGCAAGTTTTCTATTAGAAAAGTAATTCAGGCAATATAAATTAAAAACAAAACCACACATCATAGTTAAACCAATAGATCCCTCACTATACACTGAATCTAAAAAAATAATAAACATCATTGTAAAATCAATACATTTCTCCCTTTGCTCAGATTCTAAAAATTCATCTTTTAAATAATATTAGATTAGAATGTTTCTAGTAATGGTTAATCATAAAAATGTACCTGAGTGCCAAATATTTCAGTATGCAAATGGCATAAGCCACTAGCCACAGTATACAATACATTTAGCATTTGGTTCATTGTGAGAGGTGGTCTGTCTCGATCAGTTTGCTGTGATTGCTCGACTGTAGTGTCATTAATGATGGTGCTAAAATCGTAGCTGGTACATGTAGGATCAGATGCCATAGGTGTCTGCAGGAAATCATATAATGATCCATACCGGTGATAATGGGTGATAAGCAGTAACTGTGTTGTGTAAGAGTTCCGTGAAGTCATGATGTCAGATCCAATGAATCCCAGTATATTATCATGTCTCATCAGAACAGTACTAAAGTTTCAATAAAATAAATATATAATATCAAAATTGGATTTTTATTTAAATATTACTAAGAATATTGGTATCTAATCTTATTACTATATTTCATATCAATGTATTCAATGATAAAAGCAACACTAATTATCTCAACTTGATGACCTTGGATTTAAATTCTGTTTTCAGAAAATGATAGGGATTACTAATAAAATAAATGGATAGCATATACGCAATACACCTTATTTAAAATGGTAACACCGGTTTCAATCTTAAAAATTGCCTAAGTTAAATTTGAACAAATTGTATATTTTTTACAATATTGTTCATACAAAATGAATTATTATATATATAAATTTGAAAAAAAAAATATTAGTCAAAGTTCCTTGAAAAAAATTAGACATGGTGTTATACTATATTAAAATAGGACAATTGTATTGCACATGTGTGCACTAAAAGAATTAAATATTTTTAATTTATCCTAAATGTGTACTAAAGTACTCCTTATCTACCTCTATAATTCTTCCTTACTCTATATTTCTATACTCCTTTATTCTACTTTATGAAAACTGAATTTAAATCCAAGGACATTTTTTAATTTTTTAAAAACCTGTAGATTTCTGTTTCACGTTTCCATGATGGTTCATCTTTTGATAAAAATATTTTTACAGCCACATGCTCGTGACCACCATTCCAATATGTGGCGCGCCATACTTCACCATATCGACCTTTGCCTACCAACTGTTGCAGTTGAATCTGCTTAGCCAAAGTACGTTGCACCAGCACTGGCAAACCATATCCACTGCCACTGGTCCAGTCATCTTCTTGTTGGCGACTGTTGTAAGGTGGCGGCAAAAAGTCCCCATCGACCGTAGATTCAGTTATAGCTGCTGGTGAGTATCCAGAAGTAAATGACGATGGTTGAGGACTGTCATCAATATCTGTCCCAGACTCGGTAGCAACTACAACACCTTCGAGCAAGTCGACCATTGTCAAAGTAGTAGTGTGGCGTTTCCTCCTACCTCTAGATCTGCTGCGCTTTCCTTCACAAGATGACGACTGCCCTCCAGATGATATTGATGACGTAGATGATGTAGACATTGAAGAAAATGATAAATGCCTGTTCGTTTTTCTATCCCTATCAGTACGCTTTCTCCTTTTGTTTTTCCGGACACCACCTTTGTTTCTTTGACGATGTTTTGTCTTTTTCATTTTACCAGCTTTCCTGAAAAACACTAAGGCCGCAATTGTTGCAACAGCCATGAAGAACACGGCAAGCAATACCACCTTCTTGGAGATAGGTGTCCACCGCCACCCAGCTAATGCTAATTTTGGCAACAACGGAAATGGTCCATCATTGCACAGATCCTGGCCCGCGCAACATTCAATTGCATAGCTAGGTGGAAGTGATGGTTGGGATTGCTGTTCTACACCAAAAGTAGCTGAAGAGTATGTGTGGGATGATGTCCATACCGTGTATGGTAGTTGTGAGTCATTTTTCTTTGTTTCATTGTTACTACTGACGACAGAAACGGAACCCATGCACAAATTAAGAGTTTTTTGGTCAGATTCTTTTCCACTACCTACGCAGCCACGACTGATGCGCACACGGCCATCATATTCACGCACTTTTGCTTTCCAGCACTGAAAAAAGATAAAAAAAAATTACATTAAACCAAGAGCCGGAGGACCAGCAAAAACCATCACCAATAGAATTACAAAATCAAGCCTGTAAACAAAAAAAGTCATCCAACACAAATATTTATTTTAATATACCATAAATGTATTATCCAGTTAATTTAGTTTAGTTTAAAGTCCAAGCTTATTTTTTTTTATTTTTAAGTACCTAGAATATAAATCATTTTTAAGAAATTCTAGTCTCCTTTAGTTTTAATGTTTTAAGTAAAAAAACATCAATAATTAATAATAGGTATAATATTTTAAATATTATTATTATTTTTTTTTTTTATGTAATTGGCCCACACCATTGGACAATATTACATAAAAAGATGTTCAAGAATAATGAAAATGGGTGCAGCCACTGTTATAGATAATTTAATGTATACCAGTAAGCAATGATAAACCATTGCTTACGAAAAACAATTTTCAGAGGTCATTTTATAGTAAAATAATTAAATAGGCTTTATATATTTTCTTTAATAATATTTATTTAATGTGGTACCGATTTTCCTAAGTTTTTTCTGGTTTTCCATATGTTATCCCGGTTTTTCACATTTACTAGGAAAACTCCTAAGAAAATCTAAAATTGACCTCTCTAAAGTAGACTCTTAGGGAAGTCTAGTGAAATTTATTTTTAGAAACATTGCTATCATTAAAAGTTGGAGCAAAATTGCTGGTAAAAAAGTTGTAAACAGGAAAAAAAAATCAAAATATTTAAGGAATATATTTTGTAAATTTTCCAGTTTTTGCATTTGATAAGAAAACTCTTGAACAAAACAAAACATGACCTCTAAAAGGTACCTTTTGATACTAATTTTCTTTCAGAAAAAGTGCTACATATAGAAATCTGGTAGAAAAGTTATTAATAGATAAAAAAGAAAAAAAGAAATAAACATCTTTGTAAAATCATAAGCTTCTTCGCTCCACTCAGAATCTAAAAATGAATACAGAAGAAATAATATTTATAATAACTATATAAAGAACATATGATATACAATGTTGTGTGCGATGTTTATTATAACCTATTTTCCTAAATATTGTAAATCAGCATTATTATAATAAGAGTAATATTATTAATATTATATAATGCTGATATAAACCATAGGTACATGCCCGGCTTACACAAGACATCATCTGATTGCGTGATCAAAGGCCCATCCTCAATCAATCAATAACACCGTCACTTTTGACATAACACAAACACGCTAGTCCAGGAAAATAGCATATAAAAGGAGACCTGGAACAGGCCTCAGACAGTCTTGTCTACCAAGACCTTAGAAAAAATGTCTCATTGTATATTCTAAGGAATCTATGTACAGCAGAACTACTTTATATAAAATTGTATTAAATAAAATATTGATTAAAATAAAAACATAACTGTAGAACTTTAGTTAAACTATTTTCTAATAAATAAAATAATTTTAAGCGTTGATTAAGTAAAATCGGCAAGTAACAACAATACAATTTTACATTAAACACATTTAAGACATTAAATAATATTCAAAAATGGTTTTGAAATATGTATTAGAATTGATATTAGAAATTGCATATACATTAAGCAATTATTAAATGGAAGCGGTGGTATACAAAACAAACCCAACATTAAAAATTCCATATTTAACCTTAACAATTTATGTTCCAAGTAATACAATTTTATTTTGTAATCCATGACAGTCAATGCACGTGTCACGCTCTTCTAACTATATTTAAAAATATACTATTTTAATTAAACAATGAAAAATGAAAACAGACCACATAAGACATACACTATGTTCTTTTAATTTATATAAGTAACATAAACACGAACCAATAATGATAAAAATATTTAAAAACATAATTATTTTTCTATGGCTATGGCACATCAATTTTAAAAATTGTTATTACCCTTGAAATAAATTCATTAAGTATAGCATTTCTCGAATAACTGATGCAATAGATATAAATGATACAGACCAAAAAATAATTTTTAAAAGAAATCCATATTTATTAAACTTCAGCCACTATAAAATCACTAAAAGTTAGAGAATAAGTTTATTTCAAGAATAATACTAGAACAGTTGTCATTTCAGGTTTTTTTGGGTTTTGCGAGGATTTAAGCAGACTACTTTGAAATTTCACCAGACCATTTATCATATACCTATGTAAAGTACCTAGCTTTTAATTTATTCCACAGACCATGAATTGCTATCAACATAAATAGTACAATTATATTTAAAATTGAAAGATAATAAATAATTTATTACTTTAACTGTGAAAACCAATAAATAATGTATAGAAGAAAACATATACAGCAAAATACATTATAATAAAAAAAACACGCCCAACCTAACCTGACAATCACTTTTGTAAAACTATCATTATGTAAATCATTGAACAGTAGTTTTTATAACTGTACAGCAGTACTGTCATATTATCTAGCAAAGCTTGATAGTTGACATTATTGCTACATAGTACAGCAATTACCAAAGACTGTTATTGTGTAAACACTATTCATACAACACTATAAACTATCATTATGTACAAAATATTTGTTATTATTCATCATTAACTGTGATGTATTTAAAATTTAAACTTATTATGTCTACAATACAAAAACTGTTCACAAAGGTATTGGAAATTTTAAAGTCATTGCTTTTTCTTCTTTTCTTTTATATTGATTTGTTTGGTTTTTTTTATATATATATACCTAATTAAACTGCCAAAAACTTTAATTACAGAAATTAAATAATGGTGCATTATTTCAGCAGGCCAATTGAGACAATTTTAAAATTAAGGGGGTGCATAATTACACATCTTGACGCCTCTGTATTAGAATCATGTGACTGCATAGTGAATTTAAACACTAACACAATAAGATAGTAAGTTTTAAAGTTTATCTAAAATTAAATTTTTCTATTGTACCCTTTAAACCAATTTCCTGTGGTGGATCTTAGACCGTAGAATTTAAACTATATCACTTACACGTATGGCTCCAGAGCATACAGAGTCACGTTCTTCGTTTTCATTTTTCCTGGTTTCGTCTGGCTGAGGCATCAAAGCACCGTCGGGAAAACAGTACAATTGTTCATTGACTTGAAAGTCTTGTTCATCATCCCATGACAACGGCAACAGACCACTACACGACATGCACTTGAAATGGTTTTTTTGACCACCACTGTTGTCACTAGGCATGGCTGATAGAAGTGAAGCACCCTCACTGTGTTTTTCGTCTTCGTAATCATTATCATCATCACTAAGACCAAGCTCATTCTCTGCTTGCATCATGTTTTCAAACATTTCTTTGGTTGTCAATTTCCCATGGGGAGCCTTGGAATCCAGTTCTTTTGGCTGCGCAATCTTTAGTCCAGAACCGAAATCAAGCATGGTCACTGGATCTTCTAAAACCAAACACGAAAACTTTATATCTACTTCAAAGTGTACTAGACTCATCTATTGGCTTTACTATATTAACAAATTAAGTTCTTAAGGTTATGTAACAACAATATAGTTGTTATTAATTTTTTTTATGACATTGAAACTTAAAAATCTGTCTCTTAGGGTAAAAAAAATTTCAAAATATCGAATAACGAATAACACCAATAAAAATATTTTCCGTGTCCCCTGTCTTATGAATTTGCCGAGACTGAATGTTCGATTTTCGTACTTTCTGCAGAGATATAATAGATTTAAAAGTGCGCATTTTTAGTCTTAGAAAAATATTGAAATCTGACAATCTGTCTCTTGGGATCAAAAATGGGCAAAATATAAAAAAATCATTCAATCAATCAATATATTTTCAAATCCCCATCCTCACCTTATCAACGTTTTTTAGTTATAATTAACATTCTAATTTCCCGCAAAAATATACTTGGTTTTAACTTTTACAACTTGTTCATTACCTATCCAAAAGCCATGTCGTTGAAAGGGGTTAAAAAATTGATATATCGAAAATCTAATTGTTTGACATTTTACTAGGGCAATATAATAATAGAAAACCATTAAAGCAATTTCTAATATTTTTAAGTTTAGTTTGGACTCCGAAAGTTAGAGGTCAGTAAGAAAACTGTTTGCAACCGAGCACTGATTAAAATAATACAGCAGGGGCTTACTTGTCGGCAATGCTTTTGTTGTCGAAACGGCCAGCAGAATCGAAACCAGCAAAAGGGACATCTCCAAGGTCATTGAGTTAAGAATGTACTTTCGACGGCACAAGTGGCAAACGATGTCCATTTACGTACTGATCTGTGCCTATTACTATTCCATAAGCGACTCCGTTGTCCGACCATTGGTCAATATCCGCTGTCCGTAGCTTATGTATCCGTCAACGCACTAAAGTACAACGGCGTGTCAAGTGTTATTGAACCAAGCGTCACTATTGAAACCGAAACTAACGAACTATGAACCGTGGGCGCATTCAGCTGCGGCAAGACGCATTGTGCTTTGTGCACTGACAATAACAACTGTCAACTTCAATACAAATTACAATCACGATTCACAATGCCGTTTTCGGACTAGTACGGTACGTGCGCGTGTGCAAGTCACGGTAACTACGGTAACAACTATAGATAACCACGGCATCACCGTGGTTTTAAAATTTATAATGATAACAAGATCGTGAAAATAACCATTCACTTACCTTAAAACAACGAAACTCAACCATAGAATAGATTTTATTCAAAATACTACTGATACTAGATAGATTGATTCTAGATTCTATTCTGTGGCTTAACTACCGGTGACCGATTTTTTAATATTTTTCTTTGGAAGTTTTGATTGTTTATTTTATAATTTATTTCTACGAATAATGTAGAGGAGTATTATATACTTCAGAAGAAGTTACATTAAAAAAGACGGACATACTTCGCATTATGAGTAGACCACTGTTTTAGGTGAAAAGTTGGAAAAGTAGAATATAGAAAGGAATTTAATGTATTTTTGAAAATTCTGAGCTGAGTTCGATTAAACGTGTTCTTAAAGGTCGTAATATTTATGATTTTGTTAAAATTTGATATTAACAATTTATGAAAAAGTACTACATTAAACTCAACTTTTTTTGGTGGCCACTAATAAATACAACCTATTATGAACCTCCTATTGGATTATCAAGCATTTTTGTTTGATCTAACAATTTTGTCCACAGAATACCTACCAAATAAAAATTACGCACAAAACGCAAAATTCAAATGTCTATAAATAGGTACTCAAAAGTGGCTTAACTGTTTTGAAAATATCACCATGTCTAGAAAATGTAAATTTAAGGTTTTCTATCCAAATTTCAAATCTACCATTATTTTTAACTGTTTTACAATAATTATTATCAATTTATTTAACTTAATTAAGGTATATTAACTTGTGTCACTTATATCGGTACCTAGTTCACCTTTGAATATTGTCTAATAGGTTTTTTTCGAATTTATCTTTACTAATTCTTCATTATAATCATGATATTGTTTTGTAAAACTATATCCCATAATAATATTTATAAAACTAAGTAAATAAGCTCACAGTTTATCTATGGTATTATTATAAAATATGTCTTATAATATTTTGTAAGATACATACTAACTGCTGAAATATAATCGTGTACTTCAGAAAAAAAGATTTAAAGATTTAAGATAAAAAAATTCTTCTAGTAATTTAGGTACCATAATGTTTTCAATTACCTCGTTTTGATTGAAAGTGCTTACATATTAAGGCATTTAAAGGATAAAAATTTATTTGCATATAACTTCTTTATTGTTGATTGGATATCTAACTGTATGTGTAATGTGGACCCAGGTTGATTAGTTCTTATAATTGCTGAAGTAAATTAAAATAAAAGTATTTTATTCAGTTATACTTAGTAGTTCAGGGTAAAAAAATTTGTTTTAAAAAGTACCTAGGTATGTACCTTCATAATAATATTTACATTTATTGCACAAATATATGCCCTTAGGAACTTTCATAAAAGATTACATGAGAACATTAATTACATAGCAATAATACATGATGAATAAAATTATATTTTAGTTACTTATAATTTTTTATTTTTAATGATAATTTTTGAAGATGTTATTGATATTAACATATTGCTGAGGATGACATATACCTACTTAAGTTATACCTATGTATTATGTACTTGGTATATTTTTTAATTAAAACTGCTTATCTATCATTGCTTTAATTTTGTTATAGGGATAATTGAAAATAATTCAGATAATTAAATTCATGTTGTGCATTAAAATGTATATGTCCCATATCTTTATGAGATTATATCATTATCATTACCATTATAAAATGTATTAAAAGCAAAATAGCAAAGACAAAATATAAGTGACAAATTAATAACAATTCTTTTTTTGATTTTATAATTCATAAATTATACAAAATATACAACAGATTATCAATATGAAGGAAATAAAAAGTTTAATGATGAATTTTGATGTAAACTATTTCAGAGTAGTTTTAAGCGGCCCAATGTAATACTGTAATTATTTACATTCAGAGCAATGTTGGTAAAATGCAAGTGCTATGAAAGAGTAGTATATATTCATAGTTGTTGACTTTCATAGAAACAGTATCTACCCCTTATAACTGTATTATTTTTAACTAGCATAAATAATATTTCTCGATTTTCATTGCCACAAAAATTGTATAATGATACACACACTTTTATTTATTTTACTTCATTTGAGTTTTTAATTTGTAAAAATATGTATAAAGTATGCATAATCTATAAAATAAACTTTTAAAATATAATACAAACGATACCATCAAATTGTTATTTGTATATTTTGAATACACGGAGTTTGTAATACGGAATGCTTGTATGCATCTAGTATGATATAGTATTCCTAGTAGTTTTCCTTAGCTTATTTTAGTTATGTTGAAAAATTATAAAATTAATTTCTAATGTTAAATTAACAATATTAAAAAGCACCAGGACTGAATATTTTAATATGTTCGTTATTTATTATGCTAGTAATAGGAAATATCCTTTCCATATTTCCAATACATTCTAAAAGTGTAAAAATAAATATTTGCAAAATTATTATTTTATTGAAATTTGTTAAATGGTGTCTTCAGAAAATTACAAAACCTAATTCCATATTAATTTTCCTTTGATATGGCATGTATGGTAGGTATTTGATTTGTATAATTGTATCTACAAAAGACAAAAAAAAATGGTATTCCTTATTGGGGTATCTCCTCTACCAGTGGGCATATTATATACATATATATATTTTATATATGTGGGATTAAATTTGGAGTGACTCATTTTTAAGATTTCAAACTTCAGGGGTTGGAATTAAAACATTTCTTAATGCATTTGTGGACAAAATAACAGCTTCCAATGTCTCCTTATATTACTTATATTTCATTTTCAGATACAATGAAATTTTTAGTTTTACTAAAATAATGTTCTTTTTCCTGCAAAACACTTTGGTTAATAAATAAATAAGTTTTTTTTTTACATAGTTTTTACACATCTTAAGATGTAAGCACTTGAAATATTTGTTTAAGTTCCAACAATTCATCACCTAGGTACTTAAATTATTAATCTATAATATTTTGTATTCAAAATGTCATAGACGTAATTCAAAATATTATTTTTATTTCAATACAAGTTTATATTTTTATGCATAAATTATAAGATACTTAATAAAAATATAGAGATCACACAATGTTACAATTAAATATCAACAGTTCCTCAAATACACACACATACACATACACAAATACATATATATATATATATAGACAAATACATAATATATATTATACTTATATTAATAATCTTTGATAATATAATCGCACATATAGTATATCTACTAATCATCTAAATATGCTAAGTTAAATACAATAAAAATCATTTGTTCATAATGCAATGTTAAATTTTCTATAGTGCACTTAAACAAAATAAAAATACTTAAGGTCTTAGGTAAGGATCTAATTTTCAATAGTGAATATATGTTTTATTATAATAATACCAATTTACTTCAATAAAACATTTTAACTATGTTTATAATTATTAATATTTAAATAATTTCAATAGATATCTACTAAAAAAATGTAAATAATTATTACAAGTTAATTGGGTATTATGGAATTAAATACTTTAAGATTATAAGGACATACATAACATGGTTTTTTAATAACTTAATAATTTAAAATAATTAATTGTTTAAATACTTTTGGACAAATATAATTTAAATTAATTGATAAAAAAAAAAAAAAAAAAAAACAATCAGATTTATTATTATAAATACAAATGTAATAACTGAGATCTACCATACTATATTTCAGAGACCACATATATGAAAAATGTTAAATATATAATATTAAGGTACAATATTAATGTATAAAAATATGTTGTTAAATAATGAATTATATTAATTATGTATGTCTGTATAAACTAATTAGGTTGTAAGTATTATAAGTTGTTTTTTTTTTTTTCAAAGTAAATTATAGGCATACAGGGAAAAACATAAATAGATAAGTTAAAATACCTAAACTAGTATTCTTTTTGATTTTTTTAATATAACTATTCTTATTACTCTAACGCCAGTTACTTAATGGACTACGGTCTCTATGACGTCTATTATTGCCATCAGTGCTATCATCATAATAATCAGAAGAGAACATTGATTCTGTTGGACCAGTTCCAATAGATCCATCAAAGTCCATTGGGTAGGAAGAACTAAAATAATACAATAAAAATAAATGTGTTCTGTATTATCACAAGTTATTTCGTATACTATTCATTTATTTATTAAAAACAGATTTGTTTCCACGTATCAACACAATTACAGGTTATTTCGATACATTAAATTACAAGAGCATAAGATATGTATGAAGAGGAAAATAATGTTGGTTTAAGGTACGGAAAATATTAAGAATAAAAGAAGGAAGGATTAGTTAATAATAGGCGGATAATTGGTTTATTAGGTTCATAAATAGTAAAGCGGAAAGGAAGTGAAAACATTTTAGATGAACAGGTAATACCAGAAGGAATATAAAAGTTAAGATTAGAAAGTAAGAACAGGCAATCAATTATGTTGAAGGAGTTTCTGTAGGAAGTTAATATTGACAGAAAGTCTGTTGTCAGCTATGCTTACTAAATTAAGTTTATGAAGGACCGGATCAATTTTAAGCAAGAAAGCTGCATGTTTAAGAAATTTGCGCTGCACTCGTTCTAATTGCCTACAGATGACCATAGTATGAGGGTCCTATACATAATAGTATTATATTATAATTTGTTTGCCAAACAATATCTACTATGTTTAACTAACTATGGTCAAATCCGGAGGGTATTTGTATTTAGTTTTAAATTATTCATCTTAATTAAATTAAACATAGTTGTTTTTTTTTTATTTCTATACTCATAATTACAGTAAAAAAATAAGCCCAAAAATACAAATATTACAATTACAAGGTTATAAAAATAAGGTTAGGAAAGGTTTAATCCCATACTACATGATTAATGGTACTGTTTTGGCTTAAAGAAGTTAGATAATAAAACTGTAAACAAAATTGGCTAATATTTAATGAATATAATTAAGATCTGATAAGAACTCTAAAATGTGAATCCCTAAGTAGATTGCCGCAGTTAACATATAAATTATATATCGGAAAAGCAGTATTAGAAGAACCTTAATCTGATTGACAGAAAATAGAAACAGAGTTTTTCAAAAACTTACGTCCAATTTTGTGTTAAGATACTTACCTAATGATACGACGACAAGTAAAAAATAAAATTCTTTTAAGCTTTTTGTTATAAAAGAAATAATTGAAGGACCAAAGGCACCCATCTTCACTAAATGGATCTGATTGCATGTCTGGCGTATAACTAAGTAAAATATAATTATAATCAAAATAGGAATACATTTTTAGTTATAAAATTATTAATATTTATTACCTATAAATGTCACATTGTGACATGCTAATTTCTTTGTCAATAATTTCCCAGAGTTTGTCACGTAAGTATGGATAATTATTAGTAACTGCGACACATTCAACATGATTTATCGAAGTAGCATCATTTGAGTCCTCTAAAGAAGATGATGGTGAAGTTGGTTCTATAGTTACTGTTGATAAATTGTTGTCCACATCTCTCATAACCCACTAAAAAACAAGTTTTAAAAATATAATGTATCATATTAGTAAAATAATAGTGTGATATTTTTTAATTCTATTAAATCAAACTTTATAAAAAAAACAATAATATATTAATTATAATGTATAATAATATATTATACATTTTTTAAATAGCAACATCAACAGAAATTAATAATTTTTAAACAATTTAGCTACTAGGCAATTTTTTTAATTTTTTTTTTAAAAAAAAAAATTAGGTATATAAAAATTTTCAAAATGATTATGCAAAGAAAAATTGGAACTGATCATTAGTTTTAAAGTTATGGTCATTTGCAGTTTGTTGGCTTTATGGATATTATGTATGTTGGTTGTCGTAACCTAATGTTGGTGTGTATCTGTTACCATTCTAGAACATACAAGAACAAACCCCCATTTTTTTTGGATGTTTTAATTGGTACCCCATACAATAATAACACTTTAAAATTGTTTGAACAAGTTTATTGTTGCTTTAATCGAAAAAACCTTAATTTATCATGCAAAACTGTTGGATAAGTAACAGGGAAATGTCAAAAAGCATTATAAGTTAGGAAAACCAACATCGAAGGAATGTAATATTGAGAATTTAATACAACACACTACACATATAATATCCATAAAACAAACTTCAAAACTAATGATAAGCCCCAAATTTCATTTGCTCAATCATTTTAAAAACACTGATTTACATAAGTTTCAAAAAAAAAAAACTTGGTATAGCAAAACTACAATTATATCATAATTGTATACATATATGAATCTCAGTACAATTTATTCATAAATAAACTTAAGCTCTTAGTGGTCCACAGTGTTTACACCACACCTTTGGGAAAAACCATTTCTATACTTGTAGCTATCAATAAGCTTAGTATGATCCCCTGCTATTCCTACACCATATATTTATAAATATATTTTAATAGTACACCTGAAGTCACCAATAATTAGTCATAAAGTTTAGTGCACATTATTGGATGTCAGTAGCATAGTTTGGTATAGTATAATATAGTTACTTGATTTAAAAATAAATTAAACACTTTTTTTTATATGTATAACATATTTAAATAAAGTTATTTGATTAATTTAAGTACTTGAAAATGTCTATAAATCATTAAATTAAGTATATTTATGCAAAATAAAACATAACAGTACTTAAAACCTACACTAAAAATTAAGAAAAAAAATAGTGGTGTTAACACTGCAGCGCAATCCCTAACGAAATTCTCAATAGCGAATCCTTCAAGAGGTTAAACATTACATGTCACAAATAATAAATTAAAACTTAAGTTTCAAATATATTTACTTTTATATTAAATATATTTATTTTTATGAAATGTTTTAAATAATCAAAAACATAATTTTATTTACCTGTAAACTACGTTCTCGGCTAAACTCTGATGATTTAGCATCAGTGAAATCATAGTCTGGTGCAAATGTAGCATTTAATGTGGCAATTAAATAAAATAAAGATTTACGTGATATTGTATCACATAACAAAACTTCTTCATCCCCAGACACACTAAGGCTATAAATATAATAAAAAATAATATATTACATTAAGTTTCATTTTTTATTTAAGTTTATAAATTAAATTCACATGAATTTGATGCTAAGTTCATCATATAATATTTACTGAAAAGTAAAAAGTAAAAAGTTGAGCATAATGAGGAATTTATTTAGATTCTAAATTGAGCTAAGAAGCTTATGCTTTAACAAAGATGTTTATTTTTTTTTTTTCTGTGCGTACCTTTTCTAAAAGAGAATCAGTATGGAGGAACCTTAAAGGAGGTCAGGTCATTTTTCGATTTTCCCAGAAGATTTCTCAACAAATGTGAAAAACCCGAAAAAAAAAAAAAAAAAACAACAACCGTATGAAATTTAGGTATTAGTTAAATACAGATAATTTGGCTAATAATTAAATGGAATATCGTACTCAAAATTTGAATTTTATAAACCATTAAAAAAAAAAAAAAATATGGCTACAAATATTTGAGAAGTTAATTATGCTATAAGAACACCTTATAGATAAAGGTATACAATTTCCATACATTTTTAAAGAGTCAAAAAAATGTTATCCAAAACAGCTAAAAAAAACTAGAAAATTTGATATTAAACCTATAATCAGATCAAAAATCCCCAGAATTTTGAAAATTGCACTATGTTTAGAAAGAACTAATAAAAGTATTAATTTTCTATGTCTAATATCTATGATTATTTCTATCTGAATAACAACAGAAATCAATCTTGCGAAAATATTCTATTTTAATTAATTATTTATCCTCCAATGCAAAAAGAAAATCAAAAAATTACCTTTTCAATATACTAACATGACAAAATTTCTTACAAAATAACTAAAATAACTCTGTCTGACTGTTGTATCCCCTTCGTGCATTCAAATTTTGTGGCTGATGCGCAGAGCCTAACAGCTTTTATTATTGTTTGGCATGCTTTCTCGTTGGACAGAATATAGTTTATTTATTTTCGATCAGAATAAGATTTGTGGTAAAAAATTACTTGGCAGACAAAATAATAATAAAAAAAAAGACAATAAAACAACATAGTAATACATTCTTAATTAGTAATAACACTTGATCTAAAAACATACATCATCAAAGTAACTATTATGGTCAAAATATTTTAAAATGTAGTCCATAATGAGGTGAAAACATGGCCTCCATGAATCCTGATTGAACTACTAAAATGTTGGTTGAAGTCTAGGTGTTTGACTAGAAAAAAGTTAAAATATTGAAAACCAACAAATGTATATATTTTCTGTTGGCCCCTTCTGACCAATGACCCGTAATTGAATTTTTGATTTTCTCATATCCCACCGAGATAAGACAAGTTTAGTAGTGCATGTACTGAGAACGTTGAAAAATTGCAATTGTAAATTGGTTCTCGGTGTAAAAGCTAGGCCTATAAATATCGGAAAATACTAGTAGTTTTGTATTAGTATAGTGTTCAAATACAACACTAAACAGTCAAAATGTTGATATTTCAATTTTTTAACCCTTTTCAATGACAAAGCTTTTAGATAGGCAACAAATAAAAGTATTAAAATCTCGTATATATTTTTTGAGAAATTGGAATGTTATTTCTAATTGAAGAACGCTAATAAGATAAGGGGAGTGGAAAATGTATGGATCATTTTCGATACTTTTTTTTTGACCCTGAAAGGCAGATTTTCAGAGATAAAAATTTCTCCGTAAACACATATTTTTAAACCCATCGTTCTTTGCGGGAAATGGGAAAATCGAAAATCCAATCATGAAACAATAGTATGAAAAATATTTGTATTTGGAGTATTTCGATATTTTGACTTCAACCAAAATTGTATGTACTTACCTAAATAAAAATATTGTATATTTTTGTATTTTTCATTACCTTCTTCCGTATCGTGGATCACTATTAGGAGAACAGCCCAGAGCTTCAAGGTCATTTGGCTGTGTGCCACTCTGGGAGTAAAATTTTTTGTATTGTTGTTTTTCATCGCCTACCATTTTACACGAATAGCTTTCAATTCTACACCAAAATCGATACACAGAAATAAAAATAAAATTAAACGGACAAATTGATAAGTGAGAAAACCTTTTTGGGTTTTAAGTATGGGTAAACCGACCTGGCGATGACTTTGACATCTCCTCGATCAACACAAAGTGCCCTCGATAATTCGTTCAATCGTGAGCTCTCCAATAGCTTCATAGTCGACAATCGTATATTTGAAGATGGTATACTTATCGATTATATTCGTTGACGCTGTATTATACTCGTCGTTGACCGCTGTTTCATTTTTATGTCACCAAAACAAAATATGGCAGACTTGCTGCCACTGCCGCCGCAGCCGAATACTTTCCACATAGAAGGGAAACGTCCACCGTTAGCGAACATTCGAAGGACGACCATGTATCAGACTGACAAAAAAAGTTTCGAATTATCGATTTCGAACGAAGTGCTGTAGGTAGGCAACGAGAAATAAAAAGAGTTGAAGATCGCCTCGGTAACGGTTGCGCGGGTCAAAAACACGGGCGAATACACGCAAATAGACACCAAGTTCCGTCCGCTGTTTGTTTGGTATTATTATTAATTGTAAACAACTTGTACACAGAAGATTGCGCGCGCGACTCGTATCACACACAGACACACATAAACACACACGCGCACGCGCGAACAAACACAACAAATTGAATTGCGCAAATTGACAAAATGTTCAGGGGCGATAAAAAACGACCAGTAACAACAACTGTCGCCAATGTCTAATAATAATAATGCGGACCAGATGTTTCCCGACTTGCACTCTATTAATTTACTCGTATCGTGAACATCGCCGTACAGTTTTTAATTATTATTTATCATTATATTCGAAACAACACCGCTGCCGAATACGGACGACGACAAGCACAACAAACCGCCAAAAGTCTCTCTATCACTCACCCTCTCTCATTCTCATTCACTCTCTATATACACACGCACATATATATTTATATATACGGCGGTACGCGGAAAGGACAAAGGAATAATAATGAACCGCGACGCTTTTGTGCAACGCACGAGAGAGTGAGTGAGAGGGATTGAGAGAGAGAGAGAGAACGAGCGAGCGAGTGAGAGACGGTGAACGCGCATGCGCGATGCGCTACACTAGAGTTTGTCGTTTCACAAAAACAGCTGCTGATCCCGCTGCTGTCAAAATAATAATATTTGAATTTGTTTGAACGTCATCGTCATGACCGTGGTAACTGGTAGGCGGTGGAAGCCATTATTGTGCGCGCCAGACGGGACGGGCACGAAATAAATTAAGTACCTATTTCGCTTGTAAATGGCGCCCGCAGTGTTGTTACTAATGGCGCTCGAATGTAAAGTTAACAATATATAATTACATAATACATTTTACATGCGTATATTGTTATTGACTCGTGTTTAAATATCTGGTCATTTTTCCCGAGAAAATCACCTATTTCAAGTATATTCGTTTAGAGTACGTCAACACAAATATTAGAATAGGTATAGTTACCCAAAATATAGTAAGTAGGTAGTAGTGACTTAGTAAAAAAAAAAGTAGGCATTAAAAAAAATATTTCATAATTTTGACGAATAAATATTATATTTTTGGAAGAATTACAATTTCAATCAGTGGCATACTCAGATGTATGCACATAGCCAAAGGGGTAGGAATTGTTCATGGTGTCCGGACTCCTAATACCCTCCCCCCCCCCTCGGAAATTTGTTAATACAATTAATTTGATAAACTATAATTTAATAAAATATAACTTTTAATATGACTATTTTGAAATTTTTGAAAATAAAATGCTGGCTACGAGCCTGCTCAGAGAGTGTCTAGAGGGTCTTTAACGCTCCCACATTTTTCGTATTGATATACAAAAATATAATATAATAATATAGAACATGGGATAGACTCCGTGTCCCCTCCTTGGACCGTATAAATTGTAAAAAAAAAATGTTGATTTTAATTTTTCGTTTATTATTTATAAATCATAACATAAAAAGTTTTAAAACTAGAAAAACAGATTAAATGGATTAGTAATCTTCAATATACACGGAGATGTATCGGTGTCGGTTAATACAGTTGTAGGTACTTTATTGGTATTGGGAAAGTTGGATTTCTCACTGTAAATATTACATAATATGTAATATACTATATTATTTTAATAACTACCTAAAGAAAATATAAAATTTTATAAAAAAAAAAAGAATTGTTTTCAATTAGTTTTATAAAATGTTGTATTTATATAACTATAACATGTAGGTAGTAGGTACTTACCTATTAAAGTATCAAGTACCTATTACTATTATATATTTGATATTTGTTAATAAACATAACTTTTTTACATTTGTGATAATATTATAACATTATGAAAATTACATTAACCATTAGGTAAGCATATATATATATTGAAAAAATTGTATTTTGAAGTGCAATAAAATCATTTATTGTGCATCCCCCCTCCCATTTGATAAATTCTAGTTGCACTACTGCGATACTCTATTATCTAAGTACGTACGTACCTGAATTTAAATTTTTGTACCTGTAGATTTTATTTTTATTATTAACATTATTCAGTGGCGTTGGCGTATTTATGATTTTGCCAAGGGGGAAATATTGAAATTGGAAATTTTGTAAACTTTTAATAATTTATAATTCAATCTATACCCTAAAATTAACATTGAATTCAACTATACTAACAGTACTCATCTAATATGTTATCCACCGCGACTTTGTTGGTGTAGTATCACTTAGGCGTCGTTCGATTGTATCCCGTTTTGACCTTTTTAATCTTTCTCGAGTTTCGATTGCGTCCGGTTTTAACAGGTATACATCCGATCATCAGTTCAATCATAAAATTGAAAATTTCAATTACGTCCGGTAGAATCCAATTGCGTCCCAAACAATCGATAATACAATCGAAATTTTTTATTTCGATTGTATCCGGCATTGGGGCGTATTATTACTATTATTCTAACTACTAGAATTAATACTATACTCCATGTGGTACCTATATTCTGAATTGTAATAAATATTTTTTTATTTACAGACACTATTAGAACTAAAACTTTTAAATTCTGAGAGGAAATATACATTGAATTCCCGTCTGTATCCTACCTTCCCACCTACAACAGTGGCTGCACCCGTCCTCATTATCTTATTTTGTTTTTTGTATACATACAAATAGTGTAACTTATGATGTACAGTTAAATATTCAACCACCATCAAAATACAAAAATAAGTCTAATGAAGTAAGATAATTTTTAACATATATTTTCAGATTGCCTTAGTTAAATCCTGATATAGTTGGAGAAGTTTATGCTAATGAGCTAGCTTCCATTCAACCCTTAAATGAACAACTAAGACAACTTACCGACCATTTAATTGATAACTGTATTGATTCAAATTCATATTTCCCACCTGAAATATGGGCCGAAATAAACAGTAGTGTGCAGCGTACACAAACACCTGCGAAAGTTTTCATACAAAGTTTAATTCTTTTTTTACACGTCGCATCCGAATATTAATCAAAGATTATTATTATTATTTCGACCAGACATATCCAAATACATTCTATTATTTTTCCAATTCACCTGTAAGGTTCATTAAGTTATAAGATTCACTTTGTGCTGGTCTCAAAGTGAATCTTGTAAGTGGCATCCACTATATCTATATGTATTACACATGCATACTTAATCAAGGTTTTAAATTTTATGTTATCATTTTGGTTAAGTATAATAACAATCGATTAAGTATTATGACCAGTTTTAACTAGTCCCTTGAATGTCATTAAAAACGGTTTCTACTGTATCGTAAGATTTTCATTTTTCATTTTTCATTTATAGATTTAAAAATATTAATATTAAACCAAAGATCGAAAAATTAATATTGTTACACATTACTGTATTCTTTGGCTGTGTCTATTTTTACTTACCTGTTACGATGTTTCTTATAGTGTTCATTTAAAACTAAAAAATGTATAAGTACATTCATGTTTTTTTGATATATTAACTAGGTAGGTATATAGGTACCTACTATCACATTAAAATGTTGATTATTTATACTAAAAGTAAAAAAAATATTAATAAAAAAAGAAAGAGTTACTTATACCTAGTTAATAATCATATATCTAAATAATAGACACTTAGTAAACAAATGTCAAAGGGGAACATATACCTATCCCTAATCTCCTCTGTAAATATCCTATAAATATCCCTTAATAATAATAATATTATTATTATTATGATAGAGGTACCTATACAATCTCATTAAATTACAATAATCATATTATTTTGTATATTTGTGTGCATATTAGGTCAATGAAGTGTATTTTGGGCATGAGACATTTGACTTAAATCATTACCCAGCACTCAAAAGTAACACTTGATATGATATATATATATATTTATTTTTCATAGAGTTTAATATTTTATTTTGTTTTGGAATTATTCAATAGTCTTTTATTTTCCAATTCTATTAATATCTAATATTATATTACAAAAAAAAAAAAATTAAGAATCTCTAAAAATATTAAACTTTGAATTTAAATTCCGTGAATAGGGTTTAAAGTTGAAACTCCCAAAACGCGAATTGATATTGGTATAAAATATCATGCGCCCCTTAGTTTTTTTCAATGGGAGGGAGGTGCTTGATATAATAAATGAAATGCAAATAATAATTCAAGCAAAATAAATATAAACAAATAATTAAAAAAATAATAGTATAAAATAAAAATATGTTATATTTATACAAGTGATTCTTTATTGTCGAACACTCATTATTTCTCAAAGTATAGACTTTTTTCAAGAGAATGATTAGACAATTTAAGAAACAAACAAATCTAAATCGTGTAATCACAATTTATTTATCACCCTAATTTTTGGGGATACAATGGCTATCAACTTTTAATTTTCAAATGGTAACCTATATTAAAAGTTCTATATATAGGTAGAGTATTAGTTTAAATAAACGTCGATGTTAAAATTTTTATATTCCCTCAACCCGTTCAAGAGATTATCCACTTTTAAGTTTAGGTAGAAGGAAAGAAGTAGAGCATTATTTAAACAAATTTTAACACCGAAATATTTATTTAAATTAATTCGAAAATCAAAAGTTGATAGATATTGTATCCCCAAAAATTAGGGTGATAAATAAATTGTGATTACACAATTTAGATTTGTTTGTTTCTTAAATTGTTAAAACATACGTTGCGAAATAATGTGTGCAACAACGATAAATAATCACTCTGTATAAGAATATAGATGAAGCTGATTTGCACAGGAGCTTATAGCTTTAGCTATTGTTAATAATATAAACTAAATAGGTATATCTAGATTGAAACTTTATGTTTTAAGTACCAATTAACTTGTTATAAGTACAACTTACAGGAACGTTGTAACGCATCAAAATGCGCTCTTATGAACTCTAATTCATAATGAAAACCGGAAACTGAAGGATGTTAACAAACTACAGTCTACAATCAAATTAATATTTTAATTATTCATCTCATATCTCACTATTGGATGTCCTAAATTTCAAATTATTCGTTTATTAATTTCTTTTTAACATAGTACTTGTAGGTTTTTAGTGAATATTCGTGATTTCCTAGATATTGTGCCCGTGGAAATTTTACTTTGACTTTAGTTTAATTAATTATCATAATTAATAAATATAGTATTACCGTTAGATGTTCGTCAAAACAAAACAGCTCAGTATCAAGTTACAATCTACAATAGCCAATTTTATTTTATTGACGAATGACAATAATTTCACATTTTTACTCAATAATTCAATGTTATTATTTTTTTATTATTCCAAAACATTATTATTTTACCTCTTTATTCGTTATCAATTATAATAACAAAAACAAAAATTATCGCTGATAACTGATAAGTCCCTACTCCGGAACTGTTGCTGCTTCGCGTTTGTGAAAGCAATAAAATTACGATTTACGATGACTGTTTACTGTTTAGTGCGTTTTGTATTACCTGTTTTGTGTGTTGGGTAGATCCACGGTTTGATTACGAAAGCAACAATACTCGTAAACTCGTTTTGGTATCTTATAGTCAATAGTTGGTAGGTAGTGGTATCTTGCTACGCTACGACGCCGTAGTCGTTTTTACTTTCTCATACCATTGCGTGAAATCGTAGACTTTTTTTTTACTTACAAATTTATGTATGTGTTTATATATTCCGTTCTTTTTTCGTAACAATTTAGTAAACAGTATTTACCTATCAATGAATTATAATTGTGTCAGTATTATTAACTAATAGTGTTTGCTTACCAATATTATCATAACATACCTACTCGTCTACGCTCTTTTACTACGTACGGACAACAATCATTGAATTATTGGTCTATGTTATTGAAAAGAACTAGTCACCAAGACGGAACTTGGATGATAGTAACGTTCGAACAAGACATTTAATCATAAATTCAATAATTATTATTGTTTGTTAGTAAATGTGGTCCATAGTTATTGATATTAACAACGAAAACTCTCTACTAAGACATGATCGGCGAATTTTACTATTTTAACAATATCAATGGTGTAATATAACAAACAATACCTACCCAATCAATATAATTTTAAAAAATGTAGTACCTACCGATATTCCAAATGATAACTTGTTTACATGTTACGTTTGCTTTTGCTCAATACATTACGCCAAGAATAATTTATTTTCATCGCTGTAATATAAATTATTAATTATATTGCTCATTTACTACTATTAGTTTACATGTACCAGACAATCAACTAAAAATGTGGATAATATTACTTTTATTCTTTTCCATAAAAAGTGGTGTAAGTGTATACATTTATATTGTTTATTTATTTATTACTATGTTTATTACCTTAAATTTAAAAAAAAAAAAACATCTTATGTATTACTATAGAGAAGTGCTGATTTAGCCATACAACTACCTGCCTCAAATTCTTTACCATCTTCATTGCAACAAGCATATTATAGACTAGATTACCAGCCTGCCCATGGTCACCCTCCAGCAAATACAACAATTGCTGCTCAAGATATAGGTAAGTATTGAAATCCATCAATATTGTTGTATTATTTTGATTCATGTTCATAATGTATGTTTATATTATTTTTAGGAGATGTCATACATTTTTCTCAGGCTTTACCGGGGACACGTTATGATTTTTGGTTATATTATAGTAATTCAAGTACAGGAAGTAACTTAGTTATAAATAATTCCCCACAGCAAGCACAAGGAAATGCAATAATTTCACTTGGAAATGGAGAATCTCTTGTAAATAGTGTTGTTACTAATTCTGTACCTCCAGAGACACAATGGCTTCTTACTTGGACAGCATCAATTAACACTGGTATGTAAAATATTTTGGAAATCATAGATATTAATTTATTTTACTTGAAAAATAACTGATATGTACATGGTGTAGGGTTAGGAACAAACTACTTTTCTAACTTTAGTAACTTTTCACTAAAAGTTACTATTTGTATAACTATTAAAGTATCTTAAGTCACTTTTTAAAGTTATTTCATTTGGTCATACATAAATATATTAGATCTAGAATTTTTTTTTTTTTGTTGTTGGATTATCTATAATTAGTTATTAGGTAAAATTGGTTTTACTGAATTTGTAGTTTAAAAGAAAAAAATCAATATATATATTCAAATAATATACATGATAAAAGAAAGGAATAAAGAAGAATTAATAACAATTCAAGAAAAGGCAGCTGAGAATTGTTGAGTAAAATAAATTAGGGCATAATTATAGTTCAATTTGAACAACCTTTATCAACATCAGGGTTTTGTCATGTAAAAAAAATTGGCTTAACTTTGTTTGGAAGTTATGAGAGTAATATTAAGGAATTATTGTTTATGTACTGTATTCGCACATTTCTTAGAGTTTAATATTTTTTCCAAAATGTGTGATTTTAATACTTAATCCATTGATATAATCAAAATTTACTAATTATTATAAATACTTGTATAATTTTTGTACCTAAAAATAGAAAAATAGCTTTTTGAAATTAAAACAGAATTGTCAAAAAAACACTTTTAATTACTTATTTTCCCCTGTTACCAACCACATAAAGTTTTGCATAATAAATCTGAGTTTATATAAGGTTTGTTTTCCTTAGTATCCCATCCGCACACATGTAACTTCTATGATAATTAATCTATTAATTTCAAAAAATTAATAAAAACATACTTTTCACTTAAAACACAATATTAGATTCTTATTAAGTAATATGTGTAATGTAAAAACCAAACTTTTTCAAGTTTTTCATCATAACTTCCAAACAAAGTTTAGTTAGGTTCTAACAAAACTAGAATCTTTGCTTGTGATGTCCTACACAATCCACCAAAATAGGTGATCCATCAAAAAATCCTGAAATTGAAAATATATACAATTATACACATGTCATTATATTATTAACATGTACAAATGTGATAAGATAAAATAAATTTGAAAACTGAAAATTATGAAAACGAAGAACTAATAGACAATGATGAAATTTAACAACCAACAGAAGAAAATAAAACTAATCAACAAAAATTATGATTCATGAGTGCAAGGACAATGGGTATTTGGTCTATGTTGGCACTGCAATAACCTTTCAGAAAATCGATATTTCACAGTTAAAAAATGTGATAGATAAACACTTTTGCCAATTATTCAAAGTGAAGTTAAACTAGATACAACAATACTCATTAAATAGATATACATCAAATTAAATAAACACAAGTTTACACATAAAACAGTGACTCATAACCAAAATTTTATTGAACCAAGTACTGGAGCACATACTACAGTTTTTTTGGGGTGTCATATAAAAAAGATATGATATTAAAGGAAATAGTGTTTCACCTTTATTTTAAAGGCAGTTGAAAAAAAAGTGGTTGGGGCTTACTTCATCCATCCATGGATACAATATTAAATTTGTTGATTTCCTTACAGATATGAAACTAACATATTTTGTTTGGGTATAACAGGACAAATTTATAAAAGAGTAACTATGGTTCTTAGTTTGAAAAACTAGTTTAAGGAAATAAAAATAACAATGTAATGTAATTAATTGATTAATTTTACTAGTGATTGTAAAAATAAATATAAACTAATATAATATAAATAAATATGGCAATTCAATACTATTTTCGAGTAGATCACATTCTATTTAAAAATGAGTTTGGTAGGTAGGAAATCACAACTGTACTTTTTCCAAATTAGACAATTTTTATAAGTAATTAAAATTAAAAAGGAATAGTGGACATTTATTATATAGAAAATAACAAAAATAATTGATTAAAACAAATAAAAGATTCAAAAAGGTAATTAAAAAAAACGTTGAAGAAGTTGACTTAGCTTATTATTTGTTATCAGTAGTTCTATCTTTCACAAAGTTAGAGAGAGAAATCTGAGAAAACAAAAAAATAGATCCTATTTAGAATAGATAAAATAGATTCTAATAGATTTGATCTGAAGAGTACCGAAAAATTGAGAAAAAACACATGTAAACATTTTTTCTGTTATATTTCAATGTGATTGTTATGAGTTTCAAACATAATTTAATACTGTTTACTTCATTTCAAAGTTCAACATTTAACTTAATCCAAACTTCAATCTGAGTGATTTAAGATTAATTTTAAGTTATTTGACATTTCCTATAGTAGTATTGGTTAAAATAATTTTGAAGTCTGTGAATAAAATTAAATGTCTGTCAAAATAATCATTTTAAAAATCGTATAATTTTTTATATTATTACTTTAAAGTTTATTTATTAGAGGCATATTGCCTAATAAGTAATAACAATTTTAATTATTGACAAAAAGTACAAGATTGGCTGAATAACTAATTTAAAAAAAAATGAATTTACCAATTGTATTACCCATAATTATTAACCATTACATTGATTATCTTACATTTTTTTTTTCTTATTTCATTAGTAAACCAATACCAATTTTCTTTTTCTATAGGTCATAACATTTAATTACTATTTTCAGATTAATATCACTTTACACTAGTTTTTTATACCTTGACTTTTCCTACCTTTGATTGTGTTAAAATTTGTTATACATTTAGTATCTAATTACTTATTGTTTCATTTTTAAATTTTGTTTGCAATTTTATAGCTCCTGACCCTCCCACTAATTTAACAGTGACAGTTAAAGGCGGCAAGACTGCGCATGTTCAGTGGTCACCTCCAGTATTGGGAAACTACAATGGATTTAAGCTCAAAGTAAATATTTTTCTTAAATACATTATTCAATATTATCTATAAAGAATTATTAACACAATTTTACTATCATTAACTAATTGTACTAAATATATATGTATACAGGGTGTATCAGAAAAGACTGACCAACTCTATGGATTGTGACTCTATATGTGGCTATAAGAATTGGTTTTTTGGAATTTTGTTTTCTTATCAAAACTTTGGTTTTACCCGTTTTATTTGTAAAATACCCATACAAAATAAAAATAAACCATTACAGAGAATTTATCGCAAAATTCTCTTATGAAATAAGGGGTCACTCGATTTTTTCCAAAAATAATCATTATTTTCGCTATATTTGGCTTATCATGTCCCAAAATCGTAATTTTTGTGTGACACATGATATATGGTATGTAAATTTGTAAATTCAATGGAATAAATTATTTTTTATTGAAGCGTCAAATTAATGATCCTATCCGTAAAATATGACTCATTTGACTGTAAATTTAATATTAAAACTTTATTATTATTTGGATAATTAAAAAAAAAACATACCTGTTTCTCTTAATTTAAGAAAAACATCGGTTAAGGTTTTTCGATTAAGTTGCTGACGGTTTGGAAACCGATCAGTCCATAATCTAACTGCCTTAGCACCAATACCATTAGCAGTACCTCATAATTAGATGTACGTATTCAGAATAACATAACATTTTTTATTACAAGAAAAACCTTACCTAAAATAAAAAAATATCAGTGTATTCAATAAATGTTTACACCATTATTAATTAATAATAATAATAATAGCATTAATTAATATTAAATACAAAATTTGAAAAAAAAAAATATTAAATTCGCCAGTAACTTACTACACTGTGTTGAATGTGGTGTCACAAGCTTACATACCGTAGTCAATACAATAGAAATAACAATGATAAAGTTACTACTTTATACGGGTAAAACCAAAGTTTTGATGAGAAAACAAAAATTCCAAAAAACCAATTCTTATAGCCACATATAGAGCCACAATCCCCGTATAGTTGGCCAGTCTTTTCAGATACACCTTGTATATACTATATTGTATATATATGTATATTTATGTATAATTTTAAAATGTATATATTTCTTGGTATTTATTAAAATATATAAGTGTATGATTATTTTTTTGTTTTTGTTAAAAACTTCTATTTTACATGACCATTGTATTTTAGGTGATCAATCTGTCTCCATCTACTACAACTAGTATTGTATCACAACAAGAGCAATTTGTAAAAATTGTAGATGCTAGTGTTCCACAATCTATTTCACCTCAAACAGATTCTTTTAGAGAATCACAACAATATGTTTTGAAAGATTTAACACCAGGTGCTACTTATCAATTGCAATTGTTCACAATTTATGATCATAAAGAGAGTGTAGCTTATATATCCAAAAATTTTACAACAAGTAAGTATATCATTACTGACAGCTCTTTTATTTTTATTTTTTTACACTTTTTTAATAATTTCTAATGTTTATTTGTGTGTAGAACCTAGCACACCAGGGAAATTTATAGTTTGGTTTAGAAATGAAACAACATTGTTGGTCCTTTGGCAACCAAGTTATCCAGCCAGTGTATTCACTCACTATAAGGTGGTTTAATTCATTTGTATTATGTAATTTGTTGAAAAGTTGTATACAGATAGACAAAAAACGTATATTAGTAAACTAATTATTTTCTTGCTCACTTAGATGCTAATACATTCTGAGTGAAGCTATGAATACTAATACGATCTTCATGTTAATAATTAATTTATATTTATTCAATTTATACTAAATAAAAATTATTTATTTAATGAATGTTATTGTTTTATTAACAATTATTACATTTTTTTTTTTTTTTTTAATGCATCATATTGAATAATTACTATTTATCCAATAAAATCTAATTAATTCATAGTTTTAAAAAATGTAATTCAAATGTATATATTGACTAAGATAATATATTTGTTAAATTTGTATATATTATATATTTTGAACACAATGACTTATAAAATACAATTACAATTAAAAATGTATGTTCTAATAAATTAATATTTCATAGGTAAGTGTAGAACCTCAAGATTCACCAGAATCAATTGTATATGTTGAACGGGAAGGTGAACCTCCAGGTCCAGCTCAAGCTGCATTTAAAGGACTTGTACCTGGACGTGCATATAACATAAGTGTTCATACAGTGAGTGAAGATGAAACTTCTACACCAACAACTGCTCAATATCGTACAATTCCTTTAAAACCTTTGAATGTAATGGTGGACACTCGGTACATAAATTCATATGGTCTACGCGTACAATGGGAACCGCCCAAAGGATTATGGTAACTTAATTTGCTTTATTCTCATATATTTTGGGTGAATAGTATTGAATTGTTGCTAAAATCATTATTAATCTTGAATAATTTTTTTTTAAATTATTTATTCTACTTTATTTTATTGAAATTTAAAAAATAAAATTTAATTTGTAATTTTCTAGATCTTTTTATATCTGCAAATATGAAGTAATATTTTGCAAAATCATCAATTTTTATTTTATTGATAATGTTTTCAAGATGTTCAAATTTATTTTCACCTAATAATGATTAGTTTTTAGATATTTAAGAAATTCTAATTATTGTTTTTTTTGAAATTGTTAAACATATTGTTTTTTATGTATGTGGTATTTCTAGGGATCGGTAAATATTTTAGCTTATACATATATTAAGCTAAATGAATGTCCAACAGTGAAATATTTTTGTTATCTAGTAGTATTTTTTACAAGCTTATTGAAATAGCATAGATTTCATGGTTTTATCCTAGATAAATTTTTTGACATTCATGTTCAAAATTTTGATTTAGGGTTCTCAATAAATTGTTTTAATGGTGGTAAAAAAAATTGGAAATCTGTAGTCAAAGTTTGTTTTTATAAATGGTAGAATTTTATAATGCCATCTAGTAAGTTTAATAGAGTATCCTTAACAAAATGCCGGAAAAAATTGGTTTTCTCCCAGATTCTCCAAAATAAGATAATTAAAAAATAATTTACTTCTGAAAAAATATATTTTTACTAAAAATTAAAAATTAAATTATTTTGGGAAAACTAAAAAAAAATAATTAGAATAAAATAATTTTAACATGAAAAAAAAAACACTAATAGAAACAAATGGTTATACCTATCATTTAATAGTTTATTTAGGATTTCTTCAAAGAGGGATGAATTGAATTTTAAAATTGTGTTATGTTGTGTAAGGTGTATCTAAGTTACAAAAAATATCAATTTTATATTATATATTTTGTAAGTAATTTACTAATTCAAAAATTTCCTACCAGAAATCTTTTTCCATTTATCAAATACAGTATATTTTTTCAAATCATAATTTGTTTAGTTCATAGCATTTATTTTTCGTTTATACATTTTTTATAATTGGGAAAAAGCCAGGAAAAAAAATTAGGAAAAAACGAAAAATTTATGAAAATAATGGTTTTATTTTTAATTTTGATTTTTTGTTGTAATTCAGTTAAAAATGTTTATAAAAATTTGAAGTTTGAACCATTATATTTTCCTTCTTTATATTTGGTAAAATTATTAAAACATTTGAGCCATTTTTGAGCTATTAATAGACATTTTACATTTTTCGAGTTTTTTTCACATGATATTTATTTAGTAAGTACTTTATAAATAAAATCGTTAGACCAAACCAAAATGCTTGAAAAATTAACTGAATTTTCATTATGAGTTGTACTTTGTGGTCAACAAAAAAGTTGAGTTTAATCTAGTATTTTTATTTTTATAAGGATTTTGTTAACAAATGTTGATGAAAATCATAAATATTATGGGCTTCAGAAATATGTTATAACAGAATTAAGCTCAGAATCGTTTTTCTTTAGCAATGACTAATCGTCATAAAATACAAAAATACATTAAATTCCTCTCTATATTCTACCTTCTCAACTTCTCACCTACACAGTGTCCCAGCCCATGTCAAGTATGTCTGTGATTTTTAATGCATATTTTAAGTTAAAATTTTAATGAGTCACAAATATCATGGAATTTTCTAACATGTTTAACAAATTTTAGTCAGTATTTGTTTTTGTTATACTTTTTTTCACAAATTAAGGAATCTCTTTCAATGTTAATTTGATAGTTTAGTGAATATCTGGATAAATAAAATGTCAATGTTCGTGCAGCCAACAGCCCATTACACTACTAACTGGAATATTTGAATGGAGACAATAGTACCTTGAGACATTAAATGTCATCATTGTTCCTTGAACCATTGTATAATCAATAATTTATTGTTACTGTACAGATATAAATTAAATTATTCTACATATCAGTGGTATATTCCTCACTAATATCAGCTCTTTTTGTATTTTAACTTGGTTTGATGAACATATCATTGGTAGATGAAGCCAAATTCTGAAATTAAAGCAGTTCTTCAAAGTAGTTTGAATAATCAAATAATTATATAATAGTTATATAAATAAATAAATAAATAAATGGATGCGTGCCCGGAATATTATATGTGTATTGTAAGACTGGTTTTGAATTAAAAATTCATCAGCTGGTAAAATGATAAAATCAAAAATTAAAACGCAAATAATAAAATAATAATGTAACCAAAACTAACATAAGCTTATCACAACATAACAACAAAACATGGAATCATTGTTACTAGGGTGTTTAAGAAGTTTTTTAATCAGATGTTCTTCTTCTCATAATATTTTGTACCTTAGAGTTCAATAATGTTCCCCAATTTTTTTTAGATCTGTTTGGAAAAAAGTACAGGTTTTGTTTTATTTTCTATGTGTAAATAATAATTCTTTAGGAGAAATCATCAGATCAAAAATAAAAGAACAAATAAAAAAACAAATTTACTAATATTTTTTTCAAATTAAATAATCTAAATTTTTCCCCTCCTTTAGACATTTAAAAGTAAATTTTTGGATAATTTTGATAAATCAACCCTTTTAACCACCCTTCTTAAATATATTTTTAACTTATTCATCATTTAGTTACCAAGAGAATGGTTATACTTTTATAGTGAGTTACACTTGATAGTTACACTTTAAATAAAATTATTTTTACAATTATTATGGAAGAGTATAATATGTAGATTGTAGGTACATATATAAGTATACATAGCTGAGTTAATACAAAATGAAAATAAATAATTAAATACATATAAAATAATAATTATAATTAAGAACTATAAAAAAAAACTAACAATTATTATAGAATAAATATGAAGAAAAAATAAAGGTGTAATATTGAAAAATTCAGAATTTTTTTTTCTTTTCAATGCAGATCAGAAAAATTAAATTGTATATAGAAAATCTTTTTTTCTGTCACATGTTGGCAAAAGAAATTATACATAATGGCAATTTTAATGGTAAATTGACCATTACCATTATCTTTTTCATTACAATTTTCTACTAGTCAATAAGTTAATTTACTTTTATTAACTCATCATTAATATTAATTTTTTAATTTGTGGAAGAACAAAAACATCAGAATTAATATTTATCATGAACCTCACAATTATTATTCAAACATAAAACAGGTTCTAAATATCCCTACACTTAAATTTCACTGCAATAAAGCTAACTTAGATTTTAGATTCTGACTGGAGCAAAGAAGTTTATGGTTTTATAAAGATGTTTAATTTTTTTTCTGTGGACTAATTTTCTACTAGAAATTTTGCTCTGATTTTTAAGTGTAGCACCTTTTCTGAAAGGAAATCTGACTGGGGTGGTACTTGAAGGAGGTCATTTTTTGATATTCCCAAGAGGTTTCCCAATAAATCGAAGAAGCAGGAAAATCGGTACATTAAACAAATATTATTGAAAAATATCTATAATGCCTATTTAATTATTTTACCATAATATGACATATATATTGTTGCTTATAGGTGTACATTAAATTACCAGAACTGGACAGCTTTTTTATTTTCAATTCTAAATGGGATTCTCTTGCTGCTATGCCTTTTAGATTTCCTTCTCATTCTTTAAGAAACTATCACAATTCTATATACCAATACATAAGATCTCTTATGGGCACAACCATACTTTGTATCATATGCTCAGAGCTGTAAATAATAATAATTAATCCTTGAGCCACATTACTACTTTATCTAGTCATCTGTTAACTATATAATGTATATTTTTAAACCATAATTGCTATTTTAATTTAACTTGTTTAATAACTTTGAATATGTATGCTAGCCTATTGTTACAAGTACTAGTACTTATAACTCATAATTAATAATCATACTGTTTGTCTAAAATTGCCTGTTGATGTTAATACATAAATAATAATATTACTATTTAGATGAAAACAAATATCAATTCCTACAATTAATGGATTTAGTTTTCCAAAATTAGTATTACATTTATATTGTATTGGATTGATATTTTTATTATGCCTCGAGTATAGCTATGAAGACAATGATCAAATATATATTTAAATTGAAAAGAAGTTGTAAACACTTTTTATAAGTTTAATTGAGTTTTTGAACATTAATGGTAATATTATTACATGTGGACTTTATAAAATATAGGTTATTAATTTCTGCATTTGATTTTTATAAATAATAATGTGACAACTATAGGTACAATGCCAGAATTTATTGCGAAACATTAATGTAGATTATACAAAGGATATACATAAGTTCACCCTAATAGGTACCTCTAAATATTTCAGTTGTATTACCTAGTATTGAAATGGAGTTTTTGGGGAATAATACGAAATACTGAAGTACACATTTTCAGACATGTTTCAAATATTTTGGCCTGCGCATGTGTAATGCTACTTACTTTTTTTTTTAATGGCAACACCATGTTTTTCTACAAATTCAGATAGATTATATTTTTTCAAAACAATTATTGTATAAAAAGTTTTTTTATAATTACTATATTGGCTAAGTATGTTAAAATTTATTTAATATTTAATCTGTTATTGACGGCATTTTAATTACATTCAACTTATACTCGAAATTAGAAATGATATCTCCGATATTGTGAAATATCTGTTTATAGACAGATAAGACACTTATTTGTTTTTGTAATTTACTCTTATTTTTGCCATTCATATATCCAAAATAAATTAGCTAAATAATTGAAGGTAATGGAAATTATTAAAATGTATTATTTATTTGCAACTATAATTGTATGGAATAAATTATTTAAGGTTTCTGCCTTGATGTTCCAAACATGATTCTAAAAAGTTTAAAAATGTTTTTGATGTGCAGTGTTCATTTGGTCTTCTTTCAAATAATTATATGCTACTCATATTTTGTTTTTTAAATGCCCCTAAAAAAAGAAATAGTATTCATTTGTCTTATTTGTCTACAAACAGGAAATTTCACAATATCAAAGATATTTTGATTTTTTAGTAGAAGTTGAACATAGTTAAACATTTTGTCAAAACTAGATTATTTGTGAATATTAAATTTCAATATACTATGACTTTTCCAATTTTGTAATTAGAAAAAACTTTTTGTACAACTGTTTTGAAAAAATCCTGTATCATAATCTGTAAAAAAATGGCATTGCCATTTAAAAAAAAATAAATTGTATTGCGCTTGCATGGATCAAAAGGATAACAAATTTGAAATTTGTCTGATAATGTGTATTTTGTTATTCCCTAACATTCTTGAAAACTTCATTTCACTGCTAGGTCATACAACTGAAATATTTAGTGGTACCTTTTAGTGTTAATGCACTGTATACAGGATGATTCACTCAACTGGAAATACTCATTATTTCGAAATTTTTTTTTTGAAAACTTAAAAAACAAATAATTCTAAAATATTATGTTATTATTTTTTGGGGGAATGAAACGACTACCCACTAATGATTTTCAAATAGTAACCTATTTTGAAAATACCTTAAATAGATTGAGTATTATTTAAAATGAATTTTGGTGTTGGAATTTTTGATTTCCGTTTACCCGTTGGAGATATTTCACTTTTAAGTTTTGGGCGGGGGGATAGTAGTGGTGTATTCTACTCGAATTTCGTTACACCGGAAGTTTCAAGAGATAACAGTGTATAATATAATCTTAAAATTAGTAGATTGTGATGATAACACATTACCTATTGATACACCGAAACTATAATTTATCAAATCTTTAAGACTACGGTTGCATATGGTTGTAAACATGGTTATAGAACTATATCCGCGGTACTTTAATATTCTATCTACGGCACAATAAATGAATTGTACATATCTGTCATCTATGGTCTGTTCTAATATTGTGACCTTAGTGGCGTAGTTAATTATTAACCATTATCGTGACATTATCCTTTTGTTTACATTATATTGTTTTACACAGTTATTTTATGGTATATATTTAAAATATGTCTTAAGTACCTACATACAGCAACTAATTTCAGCCAATAGCTCAGGACAGTCAATGGGGTTGTTTAAAATATTGTTTACTAACATCATCTCTTAATTTATGTTTTGCACTTGTGTAGAGTTAGAAGTTTTCAACAATTTTAACAGTATCTATAGTTATGTATATTAAATCTAATTAAATTTAATTAAAAAGTTATGTATATCTAAATATATGTCTGAGTCCTAAGCAATTCTCTTCAGAAATTTATATTGGACATTATGAAGATCATTTATATATTTTAAATAATTACAAGACCAGATAAGTGAACTAAATACGAGGTTAGATAATGACATATATGGTGTTTTTAAACAAACAGGGTTTTTTTTAACTCTTTTGTATTTCTATTGATGAAACCTAGCATTTTATAGGATTTGTATATTATCATTATATGGTTTAATTTGAATGATAAATCATTTTCAAAGTTTACACCCAAGTCTTTAATCAAATTTACTCTATCAAGAGAATAGTTATTAATTTGATACAAAATACTATTAAAACATTTTTATTTAAAAGAGATTACTTGGCATTTTTTAATATTCAGAGGAAGACGATTTTATTGACTCAATTAAAAAAAAAAAATAGGTAGTAATACAATACTAAATAAGTACATTAGTAAATTGTAGAATGGAAACTAAATGTTGTAGCTACATTTGATATTAAATAAATACAAACAAATTAAAATAAGTCATAATACACGAACTATATAGGTACATATACTACAGATATTTATATATATAAATATTTAATTATAACACTTGACATAATAAAGTTTTGGGATAAACCCTAGCAATAATGATATATAATAAAAAAATAAATAAACATAGTAAAATCAATACATTAGTTATGCTCAAAATCTAAAATATATAGGGTGTACCAGAAAAGATTGGTCAACTTTACAGTTTGTTACTCTATATGTGGCTATAAGAATAGGTTTCTTGGAATATTTTTTTTACTGTCAAAACTTTGGTTTTACATGGTTTATTTATAAACTACCAATATAAAATAAAAATAAACTATACCAGAGAATTTCTTTCAAAATTATCTTACAAAAAAAGGGATCACTCCCTTGTTTTGCAAAAATAATCATTATCACCACTATTTTTGTCTTATTATGTCTAAAATCCTAATTTTGGTGTGACACATGTATTTGTATGTAAATTTGTCAGGGGTTTCAATAAATTAAATTATTTTTTATTGAAGCGCAAATTTAATGATGTTATCAGACAAATTAGACTGTAAAAAACATTGAAGTAATAATTTATTTATTGTTGAATACTAATTAATAATAAAATTAATTCAATAAAAATAACTGAATTTATATATTTTTTATGTTTTTTTACAGTCAAATTTGATGTATTTTTTTTCATAGTTTACAAATAAAACATACAAAACCAAAATTTTGACAATAAAAAAAAATTTCAAAAAACCTATTCTTTTAGCTAGCTACATATAGAGTAACAAACCGTAGAGTTCACAAGTCTTTTCTGGTACACCCTGTATATCTTACAAGATTTCAATGTCAAAAGAGCCCAGTTTTTTATGTAATACATTGCTTTTATACAGTTAATAAATTTATTTTTTTTTTATTATTATAATTAAATTAATTAAATTATATATATATATATATATTATATGTTTTTCTTAGTCGAGTAAAAATTACCATGCTATTTTTTTAGTTAGTTACAATATTGTTTACACATTAATAATAAATTTTAAAAAAAAATATCTAAATTTTGCTCAGTTATACAATCATAAATTTATAATTTGGTAATATATTAATGACATTTTAATTCATAATAAACGCATAATAAAAATATTTGTATGTACAAACATACATTCATATAATACATTTTTTATGCATGTGTAAATGTGGTATTCCTATGTGTATTCTTCAATAATTTTGTATAAAAACCCGAGCCCCCTGTTTTTATCATTAGTGTGCACAGACTTTGAGTTCAGGTTTTGCCAAAAAATATTAATTTATTAGGTGAATACACCCCTTCCTTCCAATCAATTTTATTAGTTTTCATAATTATATCAACTAATTACCTAATTAAATATCATACACTCCAAAAAATTAAAATTAAAAGTTTCTTTGTAATCTTCAATCAATAATTACCATAGTCTATAAATAAATAACTTGGATAATTACAATCAAGCCAGTATAATATTTGGTAACACAATTGTAAAAAATAAGAAGGAAATTGTCAGTGAAGTCGAAATGTATCAACTAAATTTTAAATTATGGAAAAAAAAAGTAATCACAATTTTAAAATTCATAAAACATGTACTTACTGTTGTCATATGTCAACATAATAGCAAAAAAAAATTTGTGTATGCAATTTTCTGGTAGTGCTCAGGCATGCTCTGTGCGTACATCTATGGTTTTTTTTATTAATATTCCTATGAGCACTTGAAATTTTACTATCATTTTAGTTCAGGACTATGAAACACCTATTTCAAATTTAATGATACAGGTTTAATCGAAATTGTCAGTCTGTTGTTATGAAAAATATGAGTAAAGATTGAATTGTATTGAAAAAATTTAAACTTTAAACAATAGTAAAATTAAAAATTGATAATAATATTACATTAATTACTTTAATAGTACAGTAGAAACTCAATTAACTAGCACTCTCTGTTATCTGTCATCGGTTACCATCTTACTTCTTCATAATATATGAAACATTGCTGCACAAAAAGCTTGTGCCTCATAAAAACAGAAGAAGATGATGAATTATTTTGTTTAGTATTTTTTAGTATGGTATTATTTTTGTTATTATGTATTATTATTATTATTATTATTGTTTGCAAATACACGTAAAATATATACATTTATTGAAAAATTTCTGTTAAATGTCATAGTTCCTGTCCCATGACTGATGTTTAATTGAGTTTCTACTGTAAGTGTTATTTAATAATAAAAAGGTTACACCAATCATTTATAGAAGGATCATCAGTATTAGGCATTATAGGTATTATGTAATACAATAGGTAGGTATAATTTTAAGTAAAAATATGTAGCAAGTAGCATATAGTTTACATGAGTACTATTAATTAAAAATAATATTAGTTAAACATTAATATGGTAATATTAATAACTACAGTTATATGTTTATTCATTTTTGTTAGTTGTTTTTTTTATTAAATTTGTTGATATCAATCTATTTTTTAAGTTTAAATGATTAATGTTGTAACCTTATTCAACTTAACTAGAAAAAAACATTTAAAAATAAAACACGTACATTGGTATGTAGTTTTAATAATAGTTTCCCCCTTGTAGTTGGTTGAACTTGATTTTTGTCATAGCTTCTTTGAAATTAATTTGACCATTTAAAAATAAACAATTAAAAAGAATTAAAAATAATTATACTCACCAAATTAATTTTTTTCTAGTAAAATATTAAAATACAGTACTTTTATTTTGACTTGTTCCAAATTGCAAATTGAACTTCAAAATAATCTTATTAATCAACCTAGCATTCTAGCTATTATAGCGTTGAAATTTGACTACACAGTTTAATCCTTATTTTATGGTTTTCCTTGAAGATAGCAAACTAGCATAAAATGTTTAAATGTATCCAACTAAGTTCTAATTATCTAGTTAAAGATATTTTTAGTTAATTTAGATTATCTTAGACACTAAAAAATATGGCTGGTACAGTTCTATGGTGTAACTGGATTGTAAATCAAGTTTGGTAGTTGTTATCAAAATATGAATAATATTGATAGGTATAACAAGTCAGTAATGCATATTCGGTATTGCATATACATTGAAACAAAATTTATTGATTCACCTGATATCAAAAAATTAAAATTTGTATAGGCATACAATAATAATAATATGTATTTTAATATAGTTTGTACAGCTACCTAGCTTAAACATAGGAATTAATTGTACATTGTCTTTAGCAAGTATCCAACTCACATGTGCAATAATAATTAAGATTACTTATATGTTTTATAAATTATTAAATTAAATTCAAGATCATTAAAAAAAAACCAGTTATGGCATAATTATTGTATTATAATTTTAATTGTTAAAGCAATTTTACCAAAATAGACACTGTATTACTGAAAAAAAATAAATATTTTCAATGGTCGGTAATGTATTATCATCACAAGTCTCACTGTGGTTTTACCAAATCGGTAACATATATTATAAATATTTTTTAATAATCGTGAATCGGCCTTACCGTCTGTATGTAGTAGTTGTAGCGAGCCCAAGGCCTATGTGATTGTGCTCGTACGATTTATTTAATGACGGACCTTCGCCGACGTCTGCTGGTGAAAGGATTTGGAGATAGATAGTAGACACGGTTAGAAGTTAATACAATTAAAACTTTATTTGGTACAACTCATATAATTTAGAAAATATCACCTAAAAATCACATAAAAAATGGACCAGAGGTTCGTCCGCAAGGGCATGAACGTGGACCGACTTAACATGAGGCGGTAGTGATGATCTAAGATCCATTACCGCTCTGCCTTTTGGTGTACACTAGGACCCATATATTTAATAAATAAGGAAAAGAATAAGTAAAAAGAAGATGGTTGGCGCGTGTCGAGGTCCTTTGCGACTATCGGATAGTATATTATTAATGTAGGTATCGTTCCCGACGTGCTTGTAATACTATATTGAATGGGTTATTTACATAGTGATTATCAGTTATACCCTTTATTTCTTGAGAGCTTTTACAATTTTATCACTTGAATATTCCGGTGTAATACATAAAACTGTCGGTGTAACGAAATTCGAGTGGAATACACCACTACTATCCCCCCGCCCATTACTTAAAACTAGAATACCTTGTTAACGGGTTGACAGAAATCGAAAATTTCAACACCAACATTTATTTTAAATAATACTTCATCTATTTAAGGCATTTTCAAAAAAGGTTGCCATTTGAAAATCAAAAGTAGATAAGTTGTTTCACCCCCTAAAATAAGGGGTCCAATAAAATGATTACGTAATATTTTAGAACTATTTGTTTATAAGTTTTAAAAAAAAAAAAATTCGAAAAAGTTAATACTTTCCGAGATAATGAGTGTTTACAGTGAATCACTCTGTATATATTATACGTTTGAGTTGTATATTACAAACATATTTAACAGTTTAGTTTTAGTATTCAGTTTCATATGTCTAAAAAAATCTTAACTCAATAATTTTAGTTTTGGTTAGGTTTTCTTTTCAATTTAAACATTATATAATAATGTATTATATGCTATTTAAGTATTGGCATTGATTTTATAATAACTTTTTTTATAAAATTAATGTTATTAGTTATAATTTTATAAATATGAATCTCTTAGATTTGTTTATTTTACTTCAGGATTTAAAAATAATTACCCTATAATATCCTATCTTTCCAACTACTTACAACTGTAGCCTTAACCATAGTTCTAATAAAATAACTTAATATGTTTAGTGAATTTGACAAGTATCAAATATCTGTCAATGTTAAGAGGCCAGCACAGCAATCTCCTAATCAATTGGCATCTCATCGTAGTGATCAAACTCAAACCACAACTCCAATTACATTAACTCGTCCTCGTGATGGTGATGGTTCTAATTCTGGCAGTTCAACACAATGGTGTGATGTATATGACACACAACTATTGCAACCAGGTCGAACATATCAAGTTCTTGTAAAGACAGTATCTGGAAAAGTAGCTTCATGGCCAGCTTCAGTGAATGTTACATTAAGTATGTCTGTGTTTTTACATATTAAACAACTATTAAAGTTTATAAGAAAAAAGGTGTATTTAACTAATAATTGTTGCTGTGATACTTGCACAGATTACCAATAAATACACAAAAAAGTACCTATATTATAAATAATTAGGACTTCTATTAAACTAGTCTCAAATCTGCTTATATAGTTCAAAACTATCTTATTAAATATATATTTTCCAGGTTATAATAATGGGGGAGTACCAATGTAAAAAACAATTACAAAAATAGTGTAATTGTATTTTATGTTTTTTTAAATAATTATTTTCTATACATTTATTTTATAGAGCCATTGCCTGTGTTGGATTTGAAAATTATTAGTAGTGGTAATTCTAATGGAAATGAAGATGGAGGTGGTGGTATATTACAATTGACATGGAAGGCTGATTCTATGAGTTGGCAAGATGCATATCAAGTGAGCTATGCTGAAGTGCTTACAGGATCTTTGTCATCTTCTTCCTCCGCTTCAGAATCTTTAATTGTGTCTTCAGTATTATCATTGGGAAATAATCAATCACAAAATATTTCTTCACGTCAACAATCTGCTGTTGCTGCATCTGCGCCTATTACTGTAACAACATCTACTGATAGTAATGTTTTAGTAGTGCAAGCTACAAGAGAGTCAATTGAAGATCCATCAACTCCAATAGAGTGTACTTTGGAATCTTTATTACCTGGTCGCAACTACTCTGTATCTGTCCGGTCACTGAGTTCAAGTGTTGCTTCTAATGACACAATTGTATATCACACAATGAGTAAGTAAAATAATGTTTATTGTTTGTAATACATTTAAAATACATATGTATTAGATTAACTATTTAATTTAATTTAAAAAAAATTGTATAGAACCATCAGCACCAATTATTGAAGATTTAAGGCCAACGTTGGATTATGGATTAAATGTATCTTGGAAAACAGATGTAAACAGTAGACAAGAAAATTTTCAAGTGGTGCTTCGTCGCAATGATACTGGTTTGTTAATAATAAAATAACAATAACTAATCAAAATCATGTTTACATATTTGTAATACGCATGATTAGTGCTTATGTCTATGTCATGCCATTCTTATCTGACTGTTCATGATTAGTAATAATTTGATTGTTTGAATCCAAACAATTTAATTGTACAATTAAATACACACATGACATAATATACTTTTGAACACTTATATTATATAAATATATGAGTAATTACATACTAATATTTAAATATTATTAAATTAAAGATACTCAAAAGTTATTTTTGGAATAAAATATGTACATAAATACTTAAAATGTAGAATATAATAATTTTTAAGTTACTTTGCTTCTCATTTGTATTTGTTTGGATTTAATTGTACTTGATATGGAGTTTGATCAGATATGTCACCTTAAATCTTAAGAAATAAAAACCATTAAATCACCAATTATATTTTAATATCAATATTTATGAAATTATGTAATATCATGTAAAAATAATTATAGGTTATTAAAATCATTTTTCGATTTATTATACATTTATATATATTATTTATATAGATGATATACCAACAGTAAGAATAACCAACGAATGGCGCATGGGTTTAAGAAATTTATATCCCGGAGCGGCTTATCAACTCAAAGTTTTTGCAATAAGTCATGGGCTTTTGTCTGAACCTCACGATTATTTCCAAGCTGTTTGTAAGTTTATGATTAATAATAATTACTACCAATTACTTAAAAAATATATTATTTAATGACTGACATATAATAAAACATAAAATTATATTTTGATTTTAGTTCCTAGACCTCCTACTGACCTTCAAGTGGAAAATATTACTGCTGCCTCAAATATGGGATCAAATTCTGTTTTATTAAAATGGAATGGGCCCACTGGGGAAGGACTGTTTACTGAATATTCAATTAAATATCGTACTATTGATTCAAATGGTGGCCAACAACCATGGATTAGATTGCCTGGAGTACAAACAACTGAAGCAGAAATCGCAGATATGATGGCTGGACAGCGATATACTATACAAGTTAACACACAAACTTATGGATCTCTAGAATCACCATATCCACTATTGGTTAATTATACAATACGTTAGTACTTCAAATTGTTTATTATTATTATTATTATTAATTTGTATGAGGATTATTTAAATTTAATTTGGTTATGTATGCATTTTTTCTATTAGGTCCAAATCCTGTGAGTAATATTGCTTTACTTGTAGACGCTACAAACTTAACTATACAGTTTCCTCGTCCAGAAGGTTTAATAGATTATTATTCTGTTGAGTACACTCTTCTTAAGCCACCTTCACAAACAGATCAAAATCAAACTTCTGCTCCCATAAATTGGACTACAGCCCCTACTACATGGACAACTTCTAGCGGATGGAAAAATTTTACAGATTCTGGTTATTCTAGTGGAATCGCTATCGTCAATTTAGGTTTAGAAGATTTAATTGCAGGCGCTGGTTATGCATTACGTGTGCGTACATGTTCACATTCTATGTATAGTGATCCTGTTCATTTAGAAGCACATACAAGTAAGTTAATTGTATAAATTACTTATTTGAATTGCATAATTATAATAAGGTTACTAATAAAGTAAATACTAGGGCTTTTGAATAGGGTACTAAAAATGTGAAAAAAGGCAGAAAAATCATTTAATTTTTGTAAAAATCAATTAAAAAGTGTAATAGATTAATGTAAAATTTTACTAGTTAGTATTATAAAAAAAATTAACTGCTATATTTTTACAAAAATTTTCTTTTGAAAAAAATGGTTTGTACTTTAAATATTTTTGTTCATAGAGAATAATCTTTTATAAAAGTTAAATTAACTTGCTATACCAAATATTTAATACAATTTGATAAATATCATCTATAATAAAACTCATTCAAAATAATTTTAAACATAATATCAACAAGTTTTTTCATAAGCTCTTTTCGATTTGTACTATTAATATGTATTTTAAACTATCAGATCAATTGAAAATTATACATAAAAAGCAAAAAGACATATTTATAAATAAAAAAAAAATTCATTCATTATCTTAGATATTATATGAAACACATTTTTGAATACAAATTATTTTTCTGTCATTAAAAAGCTTTTGCTTTCAAATCCGAGCCCTAGTAATAACTATTAATAATATATAAATATTTTCATACAAATTATTTGGCTCCATAGATTTCTCTATATTTTAAAATAATTTTTAGTTCTTTTTGAGCATTTACATTTTATATAAATATGTTTATTTTTCACTTGAAACTTATCTAATTATTTGATACCTCTTAACTATAAAGTAACTGATCATATTTTTTTTACACATGTTATTCTAAATTTTTTTTTTTTTAATTTGCCAATATCATGGCAATATGTTTGTTAGTGATTTATTTTTTTTGTTCCTTTATTCTTTTTTTGGCATGTTTTACTTTATTCTGGTTATACACCAGAGAGAAATGTAACTGTTATAAACAGGTTGAAATACATAAACAAATACCTATCTTTTTGCTGGGACATTATTATTTTATCTATTATTATAGATGTCACTGTATACCATTAAATAATTAAGCATTATTAATATTAATATTTCAGTGCCATTGATTTTATCTGAAATATTAGCTGTAAATGATCAGCAGCTTGCTACTGATACATTAACTTTGCGCTATACACCTACTCCACAAACAGCTAGTCGGTTTGTCAAGTATCGGTTTCAATTAGCAGAAGCTCATCAACAATCATATACACTTTCCACCATGTATCAGACTGCTGCTACCACTACTTTAGACCCAGGAACTGCATTAAATGCAAGTAAAAAACCATCAGAATCGCCATTAGTTGCAGAGAAGTGGGCATCAGATAATGAATGGAAAGTTACATGGCAATCCTTAGTTCCTGGTCGTTTATATGATATAACTGTATGGACTGTGTCAGCATATGGTATTCTTAGTCAACCTTTGCGTCGTCAAGATCGCTTATGTAAGTTATATATTTAAATGTTACTTCAGAAATCAAGTTGTACTAAAATATGAATATATAAAAAATGTTACACAATACAACACAATAAACATTTTTTACTCTCAATGATTCTGGTTTGTAATCTGTTAAACTGTTATTTTTATTATTTGTTCCCAGATCCAGAACCCATTACTGATTTGAATGCTACACATATTACTCGTGATTCTGTACATCTAGTATGGACATTACCTCGTGGACAATTTGATGCTTTTGAAATCCAGTATTTAGATACTGATGCTTCAATTATTTCTACAGCTTCATCTGTTACTAGTTCATATTCATTGTCTTCATCATCCTCCGATGGAGGAGGAGGGTTTCTTGTACAAAACTTGACAGATAAACCATGGTTTTTAGTACAGGGTCTTCGGCCATATCGCAACTATACATTTACTGTTGTAGTTCGGGCTGGTGGTGGAGGTATTTTGGGATCTCTATCACAACAACAGTTAATAAATAGTGGCACAGGAGGTTATGCAGCTTCATTATTACTGAGACGTTCAGTTCCAGTTTCTGGTACTTTTAGTTCATTAGAGTGGGTTCCTGGTCGTTGTTCACGTTTTCAGGCAGTAGATGTACAACCTGGGCATCTAACATTAGAATGGACATTACCAGAGTCTGAGCATAATGGTGTTCTTTTGCGGTATGTAGTTTCGTGGACTGCTATATTATCTTCTTCATTGTTAGATGGCACACCTACATCTACAAATACTGCAGTTCACCTACAAAATAGTGAAGAAGAACATTTGTTAGGTATAAATAGTTTACTTAATAACAATGGGGGATCGTTAAATGGCCAGCAATCTATTGGATCTGAAGTTGAAGTCAGTGAAACTACTAAAACAGCATACTATGAGCCTTGGAGAAATAGAGCAACAGTGAAAGGTCTGATACCAGGTCGTCAATATATATTCAATATCAGTGGTGAGACACGCATTGGCCGTGGTTCTGTGGCTAGTTTGGAGCAACGAATGCCAATCCTTGGTAAAGTAACCTGTTTAAATATTAAAATGCCTGATACTCAATTTTACTTTGAAATGTTTTTTTTTATAGCACCTCCTAAACCGAGTGCCCAAGTAGTACCAACTGAAGTAAGTAGGACTACAAATACTATTCAAGTACGCTTTCGAAAGAATTACTTTGGTGATCAAAATGGTCGGGTTGTTGCATACACTTTGATTGTGGCTGAGGATGACTCCAAAAATGCTAGCGGTCTTGAAATGCCCAGTTGGCAAGACGTACAAGCATATTCAATTTGGCCACCTTATCAGGTATAATACATAATAAATTAATAATAAATATTTTTATTGTAAAAATATCAGATTTTAAGTATTTTTCCCTGTCACATAACTATCAAACACGTTTAAAACAATCGGTATATCTGAATATGCCAGTAACCCATAAAGAATTTTGGTAGAAAAATAGTTTTCATTAGTTGTTATTCAATTATGTTTTATGCTTAATATTTATTTATTATTATATAAAAGTAAATATTATTATTAAAATATTTAAAAGATTTTAATCTAAATCATATTACATTATAATAACCTTAAAAGATTTCCTTTAATTATATTTTCTTTTTTTTATTGTTTTATTATATATTGTGTTTTGTATTAATTAGTATTTAATTGAATATTTTTTATATTAAAATGTTGTACCAAACTTGCCGCACTCACCACAAGTTACACTTTTGGGGCAGCGCCAAAAAGTTCAAATTTGTTGTTATATCTGTTTATCTGATTATTATTTTTGATAATAAAAAATATATTATTATTATTATTATAATATTTATTTAAGGTTCTTGATCCATACCACCCATTTTCAACAAATAAAACTGTTGAAGATTTCACAATTGGACAAGATATACATTGTAGTACAAATTCATTAAGCCGAGGAAAATTACTTTCATCACAATATTGTAATGGACCACTAAAACCTGGTACAATATATCGTGTTAAAGTACGCGCTTTTACAGCAAATGATAAATTTACTGATACAATGTTCTCATTTCCAATACAGACAGGTATGATAATTACCATATTAAATCTATAATAGTTCTTGAAAAACATAATATATTGTTAATTTTTCAGACCAAGACAATGCCTCAGCTCAAACTTCAGCCACAGCTGTTGTATTGTCTGTTGTTGTAGGATTACCAGCCGCTTTTATTTTAATTGCTGTTTGTGCAGCATTAGCGACTGGAAGTGGCCGTAGTCGCTGGTTTTTGTGTGGTAGTGATAAAAGTAAAATAATGAAAAACTCAACTAGTGGTGCAAAAAGACAAGCTGGGACAGGTCAACGAAGAATTACAGGAGGAAAATTTTTAGATAATTCATCTGCTAGAAATTTAAATGGTGGCCGGGGTGGAGGCCGTGGAAGTGATATGATAAATTCCTCTAATGTTCAACAACAACAACAACTGTCGTGTGATTTACAAATAAGGCATGTACATTTATGTGTTTTAATTATTATAATTTTTGATAAAATATTTAATATGATTATTTTATTTTAGGACAGTTGGTAATTTTTTTTAATGTATGTAATAGATATATTATTTATTTATTTATTTTGTATAGCTTTAAATGCATCAGTAATACAATTATAATAACATAAATTAATATAAATAATATACATGATGCAATATTTAGTATTTACAATCAATGAACAAATTAATAGATTGTAAATAAATAATAGCAATATTAATAATACTAATAACAATAGAAATATAAAATCAGCAATATTAAATAATTGCAACAATTCATTAATTTTAAACAGGCTATATAATTACAGTCGCATATCTAAGTTCTTGATCCATTCCATGACCTCTGATGTTTCATGAATTCCTTTGTTACCCATGTAAAATTTCCTCTCCTGTATTCCATGATAATATTTTTTAAATTTGTTCTTATTACCACAGTCACATAATAGTAAAACTTCATGACTGGTTCGTAGCCTATTTACTACTGAGTACTTAAGCCTGGACAGTTTTATCCCATTAACTTTTTAATTGAGATCTAGCACCAAATTCTTGCTTATTATATTAGAGTGAGTCCATTCATCAACTGATTAGTAGAGTCAAATTGTATTATTATCAGTTTCCTAGTTGATGTTCATAGTGCTATAGTGGTGGTTTTCTAGATTTTAATCTGAAAGTGGGTCTATCATCTAACATTTTCTATATTACTGAGGGTTTCATATCCTTTACTTATTGATATAATATATTCATTATAAAAGTATTTGATTTGTATATATTTATGTACCCTAGTATGTAACCTATTTATTACACCAAAACCGAGTAGGATAATAATTGCAAATATACTTAAAGAATATTAATGTATTTTTAGATAATTTTATATTATAACTAATTACAAATAATAAAGAACTATCTTTGAGAAATATGAATATTTTTATTTTTTTGAAAATAGTCGGCCTGTAAGAGTGGATAGATTTGTGGAACATTATGCTCAAATGTCAGCAGACTCAGATTTTCGATTTTCTGAAGAATTTGAAGATTTGAAACATGCAGCGACTGCTGCTGCAACTAATGGTGGTACAACTACAACAGCAGCTGATCTACCATGCAATCGGCCTAAAAATAGGTTCACTAACATTTTGCCATATGATCACAGTCGATTTAAATTACAACCAGTGGATGATGAAGAAGGATCTGATTATATAAATGCTAATTATGTTCCGGTGATTAAAACCCATATATTTTAATAATTGATAAATATAAATTATCATTAGGGTAAGACCTTTAAATTTATTGCAAACTCTAACTGGTTTTTTGTACTTCTAACTGTGATTTTAATTTTATGGTATACAAATAATAAAAACAAGAATTGTCAGTATATTGGATTATATTATTCATTCAGACACTACCATAATAATTTAAACTTGAACAATTTTTATTTTAGGGTCATAATAGTGTACGAGAATTTATCGTTACCCAAGGACCATTACATTCAACTAGAGATGACTTTTGGCGCATGTGCTGGGAAAGCAATGCTAGAAGCATAATAATGTTAACTAGATGTGTTGAGAAAGGTCGTGAAAAATGTGATCATTATTGGCCATATGACACCCATCCTGTTTATTATGGTGACAATATATGTGTCACTTTATTAAATGACACTCATTATTCAGATTGGGTGATAACTGAATTTATGGTTTGTCGGGTAAGAATTTATTGAATTTAAGATAATTTATGTTAAGGTTTAGGAAATATAATTAATACAAATAATCCAAAATTGTGAAGAATATTTATTTAATTTTAATTTTTGAGTATAGCGAGGTATATATTGGTTATACTTTGATTTTTTAATTTTAATAACTTCTATTGGAAATCAACTATAGCAAATATTATATAGTTTGTGCATTTTTTTTATAATTAATTGGAAAAAATATACCCAATAACGATTTCCATTATTTTATTTTTACTTAGTTGGTCTTTGTAAATTTAAATCCAATTAAAAATAATCATACAGACCTATAAGTTTAAACAATACTTATATTTTCCTTTTTTAGAAGTGGTAAAATTGTTATAACATTCTAGGGATATTTGAGTTATTTCAAATTGTCAAGGTTTTTTAATTGATAGCACTATTTCCCCACTCAAACATTCTAGGTGGTGGCATACCTTAGATCATGTACAATGGTAGAGCTATAAGCAATAAAACGTGTCACCAACATATCAAGAAGGCATCTCACTTTTGTGTATGCGCGAAGTACTGTTATCAATCTTATCACAATCTTCTTAATAGAATATCATTGTACTATATCCACGAATGTATAAAACAGCTAGACAGCCGACTTTGATATTATTATTGTCGCCAACAAAATGGACACCATGCTTATCTAAGAGGTGAATGTTAATGTTTTACAGTATTGATAAGAAAAGATGTTATAATATGCCATGTGATAATATGCTATGCCCTATAAAGGGTTAAATATTATGTACATTGTACACTGTACAGTAAAGTTCTGAAATAGCAAAATAGCGAAATAGTATTAGTTTAATTTGTAAACATTCACCTCTTAGATAACGATTGGCAGCCATTTTGTTGGCAACATTATTTTATACGTACAGACCGTAGCAGACGGCTATCTAGTTGTTATATATATCTGTGAATGTAAAATATACATCCGAATATCCAATATAGGTTTTAATGGTATTATGAAGTGGGTGACATATGCACAGTAGCTACATACTTTTGATAATATCCACGATTTAAGATAGTATTATATTTTAAGATAGACTATCTTAAGTCTTGATAATATCATATTATATTGGCAACATATTCGTTTCATATGAGGTATAGCTGTAGCTCTATCAATTGTATATAATCTAAGTGGCATACTGTGCTGTTGGCTACGTGAACTTTGACGCGTTTTCATTGAGACATGAGTTCCTTTCTCCTGGAACAAAGTATCCCAACTTTTTATTTATAACAGTGGGACATCCATATTCAGCACTTCAGCTCTTTTTTGGTTAATTGTTACGTTTGATAAAATAAAATCTGTTATATTACATATAGAATGATCAAAAAAGAGTTATAAGACATTTTCATTTTACTACTTGGCCTGATTTTGGTGTACCAAGTCCTCCACAAACTTTGTGCCGGTTCGTCCGTGCTTTTAGAGACCGGCATCATGCCGGTGCAACTAATATAGTTGAACAACATCAACTTCAATTGCAACAACACCATCGTCCCATAATTGTGCATTGCAGGTAATATAAATTATTTTACATTTTAACCATATATAATAATATTTTACTTATACTAGGTAGTTAATAATTTATTTGTTTTATTTTACTGGCATACATTATATATTATATTTTAATAAAATCAGTAACGGCTTTGGTTCATATCGAGGTTCATATCCTAGAGGGAGAGAGCAATTTCATAGTCATTGTACATTATGGCTTAAGTAATTTCTAGTTTTTATGGTAAACATTTAGTTTCCTTATTAGTTCTATAGGTATCCAGAATAGTTTTGATTGTCGTAAATATTTTTTACAGTCGTATCATGTCCTATTAAGAAGAATTTATAACTTAAATAAGCTATAAATAGAACAGGTACCTATCTAATATTAATAAAATAAAGTGTTAGTCTGTTTATTTTTGCGTGTTCCATAACAAAGTTAAGAGCATATAAAATTTACACACAGAAGCAGATTAAAGGTTCCATATACACTTTGAAACCAGATTTCTGAAATTGTACGTGGGCACATTTTTATTTTTTTGATATAGCATGAACATTTTATCTCGTCATGGTTAGGCACCACAACAGATAAAAACTTATTTGATTATTAAATATTTCGTGTGGTGCAGCTGGTAATTTTAGCATACCTTATATTTTTTCGGTTGTATTTAGACATCCATACTTATTTTTTATCCACATTGCTCGGAATCAATTAGGTCATAGTATTAAAAGGTTAAATTTCCATTTTTTTGTCAATTTAGTTTGTCATTAAGGTAGGTTGCATAATGCATATGCGGGTGATAATGTTTAGGAGTAATCTGACCTATATGTCCCCTAATTTTCATTGCTGGATAATAAAACTATAAAAGCGAGATTTGGATTATTTACAATCTTATGTAAAAATAAACTTTGAATGAAGTGTATGACAGTAAATAATATATTCATAAAAAAAAAATAAAATTATTTAATATAATATTGCACATTTCAGCGCGGGGGTTGGGCGGTCTGGTACGTTTATAGCCCTGGACAGGGTTCTGCAGTCACTCAATGACCCCACACAAGTGAACAACTATATTGACGTTTATGGTATCGTGTATGCCATGCGCAAGGAACGCGTGTGGATGGTACAAACCGAGCAACAGTATATATGTATCCATCAGTGTATCGTGTGCATCCTTCAGCAGAGCAACGGCGGCGGTGGTGAACAGCAGGAGCTGCTTGACCAAGATCAACAGGATTTGGAACTGATGAATAGCGCAACGGCGGGCACCATGCTCGCTCACCACAACCGCGCATTCGAAGGTACGTCGTCGCTACTTGTGTTTAGCTCAGGGACGACAGCGTTTATTGTGCGGTGCGGCGTCCTATGGATAAACGCCGCGGTCACCAACGGCCTGCCTGCGGTGGTCGGGGGCTTTTGGTCCAAGCACAGCGGCGGCGGAAAAAAGTCGACTGGTGTCGAACCATCCGCCGTTGTTGCTGCCGCTCATAACACTGTTACCGCCTTAAACACAATTGTCACAACGAAACACTCCTATAACAAGCCTTGGTGGTCTCTGTGGTGGAGGCGGAAATCTGGGTCAAATAACATTAGTGATATTTATCGCCTATGAACAAACAATAAAAAAAAACCTACAGTATTGAACTCCTGTGATAAACTGATTAAATTTTAGTTTTATAATATTAGGATTAGGTATAGTCCTGCCAGAACAGGTTGATAGCAGTATAGAAGTGGTTGCAGCTGATGATGACATCTTTGATGGTTGAAACCATATTATATTGTTATGAAATAAAAGTGAGAAATTCATTGTGTGTGTTTTGAATGTGTGGTGTGTGTGTGACTAATACCCTTAACCATTGGACTGAATTTTTTTTTTTACTAAATATAATTTGTATACTCTATGTGTGTGACATAAGACATAATCCCCTAAGATGAAATCAAAATTAAAATCTCGTCCTTTGTTTTGTTGATAAATAATAATATTATTTATTAAATTGTAGTTTATAATATAAATATAATATTAAAATTTTTAATTTTTTTTTTTTATTGCTGAGAGAGAGAAGGATAACTTTTTAATGGTATGTAGAATATATGATAATAAGAGTGACATTTGTTTTTGAATTATGTACATATTGTCATGTTAAATTTAAAGGCACCATGTAGTAGTTTTTATTAAATTGAAATCCACGCTCTATGGGATTATTTAAAAAGTCATTAATATTAAAATTTTATAATTTAATTTTATTAATTGAATGAATAAAATAAAATTGAAATTAAAAAAAAAAATACAACAAAGTATTCATGGTAAATAATACAATAAAGTAGTACTTATATTTAATATGATGCCTTTGAATTCAACATTGTGATACTTAATGTATATGTACCTATTGTAATTAGTAATTTTGGTAAATATTTTGTAAAAAATGTAATAGTGGTTTTCAGTACATATGTCATAAATTTTCTTAAACCTAATGTAAACTAGGTTTTTTGAATTCAATTATTTAGTAAAAAGCCATGAAACTAATACAATTTTGATAATTTATACTTTATCTATTTATTTCAAGTTTCAAATATTTGTAAATTTGATCTATTTTTTTAAAAATTTTTTATTTTATTTATATAACTAGTTTAAAATGAACCTCCTAATAGTAGTTTTGCTTAAATTTGTTTGAGATGCTTGCCTTTGATGTCATTTTTAATTATTTTGTTTAACACCGCTTTGCTTTTTATTAAAATTTATTGATTTTTTATTGCTAAATTTCAGTAAAAACTCTTTACATTTTTAGATAAGCTAAATAATGAATAGTTATTGCAGTTGGAAGTTAAAAATAATTAATGATTGTCAATGATGTTGATTTGCATTATTTTACATATATTGATTTATGTTACAGATGATGAAGGTATAGCAGAATCAGGAATGTAATTTTATGAAGCAACTGAATTTTTTGGAACCATAGTATTTTTATTTTTTTATTTCTATTTAAAATAACCATTTTTCACCAGATATAGATTTACAAAAGTATTATATTATAACTACTTTGATTTAGAATATTTTATAATGTATTATCTTTAAAGTATTAATAATGACAATTATTATTATTGTGTTTATATATGTATTAATTATGAAGACTTAGCTGTATTATTTTTTAGAATGTTAATAGTAATTTTTGATTAAATGGAGGAAATAATTCAACATAATTTTTAATGACAAAAAAGTATTATTATTTTTATACATTTTATATTATATTATTTTCTTTCTGTCTTCTTTCTGTTAAAACAAATAAATAATTTTTTTTACTATACAATTTTATACACTATTGTCATAATTACAGTACCTATTCAAGAACTACCTATTGTTTTAAAACAACATTTTTTTTTTTTGTAATGTTTTATAATGTCCATTCAAAATAATATACATATTTTAATTTTTAGAAATTTTAATAACAATAAAACAATATACATGAAATATTATTATGATACAAATAAAAATATGTATTGATTATATTAATTTATAACAGATAATAGTATAATTATAACTTAATGGATAGTTCAGAAGTGTGGGTAAATGAAAACATGTAAATAGCACAACATATACATAAGCAAAGTTAATTTAGTAATTTTCTAAATATTCTAAACACTTGACCTACATAATTTAAGTGTTGGAATGTATAAAATTATAGAAATATGATATTGGGTGATATAGGTATAAAATATACCTGAAATGTCCTGTGAATATTAATAGTACAGATCTTATGAGTGATAATTTATCTAAATCTATATAACTATAGTTCTATGAACAGTTTAGCAATACTAATGATGCAATTTGCTTATAAATCTATGAATTCTATAAAACCCACCCTAAGTATATCAGCTGAAATATTGAAGTTCTGTAAAAATCTCAATTTATCTTTAATATTTTATAGTAAATCAATATTTGAATTTGTTCATAAGGGTATAAAATTTAAATGGGGGAAAATAGTAACATTATCTTCCTTTGTTTTTGGGGCTTTATCAACTTTAAAGAAGACATTAATGAGTCATTCAAATTATATTATTTTATTTTTTATTTCCTAACATGAGCAAATGTTTTAAATAAAATTGTCCCATATTTTAAATTGACCATCTTATATGTCCCTTATTTCTTTTTTTTTCTATACACCTATCTAAAATACCCCCACTCTATTACACCTTGTTTGTAAATTATAAACCCAGGAGTCACCTAGTTTCTATGTAAGTCCTCATTTAAACTAATCAGATTTCTGCAGCCTAAAATACTATCAATTACTTTGTTGAACACTGGTGTATCCAGGAAACTTACTTAAAATCTATACACACCTTTTTTTGTTTAATGTACTATAAGGAATACTAAGCATATGTTGTTATTTGAGAATCAAGTTTGCAGCGGATTCATCTTCCAAAAATAAAAGTGACAAAAAAAATGAGCCGCTTGTTTAAGAAATTGTGCGAAATAAATGTTGAAAAAAAATTAATACTTTCAGAGATAATAAATGTCTGATTGAGACTTGATTCCTAATCATACATCAACACATTTTTCGGGGAGGGGTCTTGAAAAATCATATGTATTTAAAAGGTATCTATTAATAGATACCCTTTTTTGATGATATTTTATTAAAATTCTATCAGTGTCTAGGGGGGTCCAGACCCCCTGAGCCCCCTCCCCTCCTGTAAATCAGCCAATAGTTATTATCTACCACTGTTTTGAGGTGTGGTAATGAAAAATAACATATCCACTTACCCCTACAGGGAATCAAACATGTCATGGGGCGAAGCCACTCTTAACCCGTACCAATTTCCTAAACTACAAAATATCACTTGAAACCGATATTGACAAAGATGCTGATTTAGTTATTTACCTATATTTTACCTACATCATGGTACCATGCAGTACCTACTGATAAGAACTATGTATTACATTTTTAAATAAATGCAATATGTACATTGTACTTATATTGTTTGATTAGTTTGAATATATTTTTAGTACTACTGTACTGTTTGATATGAAAATATTAATTACTGCATCACTGTATCAGTGTTAATGTCAATATTGTTTTCACTATTAACTCAAATGAATCCTATCATTCTTCTCCCATTGTACTTCTTAATTTATTTTCAATAAGTTTTAATTTTGAGAAGACTCATTCTGGAGATGGACTTGATACAGGTAAAATTAAATCAATATTTAACACTATTGGGTGTTAGGAAAGGGGGGTGGACTAATGGGGCATCTGCATCTCCTCCGGACTTCAACATTTCAAATATAATTTTATTTTAATTACTTTTTGTGGTTTGATTTTATTATGCCCCTCCCTAATAAATTTCCCGCCGGCGCCCATGCTTAAAATTATATAAATAGATGGAAACACTTCTTTTAATATATTTCAGTGACATACCTTGTATATACTTACTACCCATCAGTTTGCGTCAAATTGACGTGAAATATATTCTATATTCAGTAGTCCGTGTTTTGTTTAATTGAAAGTAAATGTATTCACAAGTTTTTGTAATTTAATTTTTACCACAATATTGTTCTTGTAAATTTAAATTTAAAAAACCAATTTTTAATAATTTATTAATAAATGAAATATGGGCAAATGTCACAAAATGAACGCTAATAACATACTAAATATAAATCTGTAATATAGTTTTTGGATTAAACAACTGATTTTTATTTAAACGACCATTTTGAGTTAATAGATAATAGATACCTTCAAAAATTATCTGAAATACATACCTATCAAGAAATAATAATGATGAATGTACTGATTCCAAAGTGCTTACTGCTTATAGATACGTACCTACTTATGTATATTTTAAATTATAATTAAAAGTAAATAAACACTACAGTTATCTAAATAAATTTAGGAAATATTATATTACCTATAATATTATACAGAATTTTAAATTCTAAGTAGAACGAAGAATAACTCATGGTTTTATAAAGCTGGGGAGGTACTTTAAGGAGGTAATTTTTTGATTTTCTCAGGAGTTTTATGTATTGGAAAATAACGGATGAACGGGAAAAAGGGTACAATATACAAAAACAAATTTTATTCAATATTATACAATAAACAAATATTATTAAAGAAAATGCATATGTATTCATTTTACTGTAATATGACATATATATATTGTTGACAGAGCAACACTATTAACTAAACTCCGCCCAGAATCGTTTTTTCGTAAGTAATGGTTTATCGTGACTTATAGTGACTTATACATTAAATTCCCGTCTGTATCCTACCTTCCCAACTTCCCACCTACAACAGTGGCTGCACCCACGAACAAAGTATGTCTGCCTTTTAAATAAAATAACTGATAATTACTGCACGACAATGTAAAATCTAGATACTTACTGGCTGTAGGTAACTGAATGTGATTTTTTTTATGGATTCTTAATTTTCTGGTGGATATTATTATTATTTTTTTTTATAACTTTGCAATTATTACTTTGAGAATAATTTTAAAAACATACAAATTTGTTCGAAGTCACCCCATTTTACGGCACGATAAATTATTATTTATCGTATTGGATTACATTTTAGCGGCATTTTATCGGTAGGTAGGAAGGGAAATACAATGTATGTTATAATGGACGTAATAATTTTTGGATTTGTTCTTGCATTTAGTTAGTTAGTTTGTATGGTAGATAGCGCCTCTAAATTCGATATGTGTAGTAATGTCACTAATAGAATTATAACTAATACTTCAAATGCGAATATTAGTAGGGATGGATTAAGAAGGACTGAGGAGAGATGATGTGTTGATTTCCTCCTCCTTCTTGAACTTTTTTTTTTTATACATTTATTAATTTGTTTAATGGTTTCTAGAGTTCATTGTGATTATTTGTTCGCATGGTCAAGAATTTTCAGTCTAATCTACTATAGATCTAATTTAACCTATAGGTCTAATCTAACCTACTTCATCAATCTTTCATTTCATTTATGGTGTGATTTTCTATGTATGGAGTGTATTACTTATTATGTATTGCTAGTGTTTTTTTCCTTCGCCGTTATTCATTCATATGTGCTCCTATTCACTATCCGTTTAAACAAATCTCAGATTTGCTCTTGAATACGCGACTCTCGATGAAAACTTGACTATATATACCTACTTAATCGTCAAATACTTTTTTTTTTATCGAATATAGGTAATACGTTTATTATATTATTATATATACCCAACATAAATTTGTTTAATTATATAGGCAAGTACTACAGTGGCGTACCCAGAGGAGGGGTAAGGGGCGCTAAGAGGCTACACCTCGCCCCATTGCCGTGTTCAACATTTAAAATACAAAAAAATAATATTCAGTGTACATTATTTGACATTGAAACTGATTACAAACATAATAATAATCTTTGCATGTTTGTACGATTTACTCAATTATAGGAAGGTACACACGGACAGACCCTTATTTACACATGTGCATGTGGTGCACAAGCACAGGGCTCCCAAGTTCTAAGCCTCCCTCTTCATATCTTATACGAAAAAAAAAATAGTATACTTTATAAATATAATTATTAATTGGTACGAATGTACGATTAAGTATTTAACGAGCGATTATTATTGAATACATACATATAATGTAAAAATATTTTTTTATAATTACCTATATTATGTATCTAATCATTGTCTGCATTTAAACGTATTAAAAGTCGAATACGTTCTTCTTAACACACAAAAAAAAAAAAAAAAAAAAATTGAATTCTATATCATTACTACAGACAGTCAATCATGATGTTACAAAAAAAAAAACGCACGTGCTTGAAGAAACTTCCAGAATTTGCAAAACAAACTAAGAGAAAGACGGACATACTTCGCAAAATGGGTAAACTACTGTTGTGGATGAAAAGTTGGGAATGTAGGACACAGAGGGGAATTTAATGCATATTTTTAAGCAAAGATTAATAGAATTACTAGAATAAAACGATTCTGAATTGACCTCAGTTAATAGTATTATTTTTACATCATTTTTACTTGAACGATTTTCGTCAAAATTTGATTTCCACAGAGTACCTACGAATACAAATTACGTACAAAATTCGTAAAATTAAAATTTCTATAAATTTCAAGTTTTTACGAATATTTTTAGCTGAATTACAACAAAAAACAAAATTGAAAATAATAAAAATATTATTTTCGAAAACTTTCCCGTTTTAATGATTCTTAGTTTTCCCAAATATTATGAAAACTACTTGGGAAATCAAAAAAAAGACCTCAGTAAAATACCATTTAGATTTTAGATAAAATATCCTTTCAAAATTAGAGCCATATTTACACATCGAAGCAAGATGTCAGATAGAAATTTTCATCACAGTATAAAAAATAAACATCATT